TTTTCCTAGACTTTCAAATGAACAACGAAATGAGATGAATTGTTTAATTACTTCTGAGGAAATTATTTTGGCAATTAAACAGTTAAAAGTGGGTAAGGCTCCTGGTACAGATGGATTAACAGCAATTTATTATAAAATATTATCTGAAGAGATGATAGAACCATTAAAGGAAATTTTTAATAGTATCCAGATTAGAGGAGAAGTACCTCTGTCTTGGAGAGACATTCTTAATTAACCTTGTTTGCATTAAAAAAAAATCTCAAAATGGAAAATTCAGAAGAATGGTAAGAAGAGAAATATACTACAGTGGCCAACATCCATCAAACCAAAGTTTACACTATCAAAACCTAGCATCTTGGCTATTAGTGTGGCATGAATATAGTATCTAAGAGAATTTATTCCAGACTGAGCTATAATTATATTAATTAATATTATTAATAGGGGACTTGACTGATGTTGGAGTGAAACACCACAAATAGAGCAAAAATATTTCTTCAGATTTAAGAGCAATTTGCTTTCCACCTCTTTACATTAGCATCATTCATTCCATAATTTAATTAAAATTATTTCCCATTTTAGAAATCTGAAAAGTAACTTTTTATCTTCTTTTAATTTCAAAATAGAAAAGAAAAGAGCCCTTTGATATGGTTTAGGAGGTTTAAAGTTCAGAAAAGAGTACAATAAGGATATGCAGGTAGTCCTTGACTTACGACCACAATTGAGCGTAAAATTTATGTTGCTAAGAAATTTGTTAGGTGAGTTTTACCCCATTTATGACTTTTCTTTGCCACATTGGTTAAGTGAATCACTGCAGCTTCCCCATTGACTTTGCTTGTCAGAAGTTTAGAAAAAGTAATCACATGAACCCAGAACACTGCAACTATCATAAATATGAACCAGTTGTCAAGCATCTGAACGTAAATCACATGACCATGGGAATGATGCAGTGGTCATAAGTGTGAAAAATGGTTAAGGCCACTTTTCAGTACCATTGGTCACTAAATGATCTGTTGTAAGTCAAATACCTGTAGTAAAATAGTTGTGCATGCCTCTCTCTGTATCTTTCAGGATTTTTCCTTATGTTTATTTGGAAAATGTTGTGATGTAATGTAATTCACAGTAAACCATGGAGACATTCATTCAGTTAACTGAAACCTTAGGTGGAATTTGTTTGAAAGATACATATATCTCACTAATATATCACTATAAACAACTCTGCAAACAAACATTGTTGTCTTGTGTCCATATTTAAAATGGGAAATATCCCCCCTCCTGGGGATTATGTTGTTTACTTTTTTAAAAAAACAATTATGGCTGTAGCTGCACGTAAGCATATACCGTATATTCCGGCGTATAAGACGACTTTTGAGAGCGTCGAAACAGCCTCCGAACTCGGGGGTCGTCTTATACGCCAAGTCGTCTTATACGCCGGAAATAAGGTAGTTTCTGGCGTATAAGACGACTTTCTAAGCATGCGACTCGGCGTCGATGATCTTATACGCCAGAAATAACGTAGTTTCCGGCGTATAAGACGACTTTCTAGGCATGTGACTCGGCGTCGATCGTCGTATACGCCGGAAATACGGGTAGTTTCCGGCGTATAAGATGACTTTCTAGGCATGCGACTCAGCGTTGATGGTCTTGCGACTCAGTGTTGATCATCTTGCGACCCGGCGTCGAACTAGGGAGTCGTCTTATACGCCGGGTCGCCCTATACGCCGGAATATACGGTATCTGGTTCTCCACTTCAAAGTTTGAGTGGTAGAAGGATTTGTAAAAATGTTCTATTTTGGCTGGTATTCTCCCAAGTTGTTTTGGCATATAGCCCAAAGTATAACTCAGTTTTTCCCCATTCTTTTTGCAGAATATAAACATATTTGTATTAAACACAAGGTGAAAGGGAAGGAGTCAGCTTTACAACTATGGTTGTGTTACACAGGATAGTATTCCAGAAATGGTTTTTGGCTTCTACATTCCTGTGTAATTTCTAAAGTATAAACAAACAGCATTTATTCTATACTATTATAGTTCTATATTACTTTCAAACCACTTTTTATGGAAATCACAGATAGATTATTTAATTATAACATAGGAAAATTAACATTGGCAACTGATGCAATTGGATGCGGTTAGAATTTTACTGGTCTGAAGAATCAAATTGCAAACATTTTTATTTGAAATAGTTTTAGGACATTGGAATTGAAATCTGCAATGTATTGTGTAGTAAGTCCTCCAGATGCGTTATATCAAGTATGCTTTTACAGTAATCAAAAAAATATGTCTACTGATTTCAAGGCTAAAATATAAAATTTGAAAATGTACATTTTACCCCTACTTAAGTGGCAATAGTTTAGTTAGATGCACATGGAGCTATTTTGTGCCACATCTGTAGAAAAGTTTTCTCAGGTCCAGTTCAGGATTGAAATTTGGACTACATTACATGACAGCTGTGATCATTATTGAACTAATATTTGTGAAACTCATAAAATCTTTAAATATTTTATATAGGTGATTACTGTAATTTACATATAACCTTATTTTTCTATATACCATATATTCCGGCGTTTAGGGCGACCCGGTGTATAAGACGACCCCTAGTTTGACGCCGGGTCGCAAGACGATCGACGCCGAGTCACAAAACGATCGACGCCGAGTCACATGCCTAGAAAGTCATCTTATACACCGGAAACTACTGGTATTTCCGGCGTATAAGACGATCGATGCCGAGTCGCATGCCTAGAAAGTCGTCTTATACGCCAGAAACTACGTTATTTCTGGCGTATAAGATGACTTGGCGTATAAGACGACCCCCAAGTTCGGAGGCTGGTTTCGACGCTCTCAAAAGTCGTCTTATACGCCGGAATATATGGTAGTTATGCTAAACATGGTATCACTTGATAAACTAGCCGCTTTCCAACAGAAAATCTGTTTTCTTCTCTCCCCTGAAATATGTATAGTTTTATGTAGGCAGTATTGTAAAGCTCATTAGATTTTAGTAGCGCTCAGTATGATGGGATAAAATTACATTGCTTAAAGGCATACATTGTTTTGTAAAGGGAAAAAAAGGGGTTATATTTTTTAGCTTTGTATATTTTATTTAGCTTTTTTTGTTTGAAGCTCTTCTGTAGAACAAAATGAGATATAGAGTAGTTGATAGAATGTATTCAGATATTTTCTCTCCTGTTTTGTGGAACCAATTTCTGCCTTCTGCCTTAATAGCTTTGATCCAAAAAATGTTTTCTAGGCAGGTCTAGACCACTTATGACACATAGTAAAGGTGTCCATGTAATTCCACTTTAGTAGCTGCAGAGGCCAATATAATGCTTAATCTTTTTAGGAGATTTTTAAGAGTCTACAGACTAAGATGTGGAAGTGAAAGAACACCTGATGTCTCATTCTAACCTCCAGAACAAGATACTAAAGCAGTGGTTCTCAACCTTTCTAATGCCGCGACCCCATAATACAGTTCCCCATGTTGTGGTGACCCCGAACCACTTATACATCACTGGGTGCCAGGGGCGTGGCCAAAGAAAAGAGGGAAAAAATGGCGGACAGCCTTGTTTGGCGACCCCTGTGCAATGGTCGTTCGACCCCAAATGGGGTCCCGACCCACAGGTTGAGAACCACTGTACTAAAGCAAAGAGGCAGCCAGGTTGATATGCCCTTGTTTTGAGGGACGATTTCTCAGAATAAAGTATTGTGGAAATAATATGTTGTTGCTTACCTGCTATTCATCTAATCAGTAGAAATAGTTTTCCTTACTTTCTCCCTGGACAAATACAGTAAATTACTGAATATAATTCTTAAGTCATTGATTACCTGTTTTGATGAACTCTAATAATACTTTCCCAGGTTTGATAAACTTGTTTTGCATTTGTTTATTCGCAAATGGCTACTCTCCTTTCACTTTCTGGATTCTGTTGTGTTTTCATATCACATTTTGATTTGGACTTGAAGCTTGAGTATGATTTTTTTTAAATAATATCAATTATTATAATTTCTCCCCATCTACCTAATGTATTTGAGTCTATTAGGAAAGACGATGAAGGAAAGCTGCATTTCTTGTTCTTTTAGATATATTGATATATATATTGATATATTCTTGTTCTTTTAGATATATTGATATATTGATTTCTTCCAGAGACATAATTATCTTGGATTTTCTCCTCTATCAAAGTTAGCAGGAAGAGGAAAGTGATGGCAGAAATAAGATGGACAGAATATATGTAACTGACTTTTATTGTATAACATTACCACCCAAACCTGATTTTATTATTGGTAACATCATTCAGTAGTTTTCAGATTGTATATAAATAGGGAATCCAAGTGCATTAAGTTGTCTTCTGAGGAATTCTCTCTGTGACAAGAAATAGTGGGCCTTGTAATATAGAAACACCCAATTTACACGCCTTTGATTATGGCTCTTCATTGTACTGTTAATATACTCATTCCCATAGATCAGGGGTAGGTAATCTTGGTTCTTTTATGACTCGTGGACTTCAACTCCCAGAATTCCTGAGCCACCCATGCTAGCTCTGTAATTCTGGGAGTTGAAGTCCACGAGTCATAAAAGATCCAAGGTTGCCTACCTCTGCCCTAGGTGTTAGTGAACCATTTTCAAGTAGACTGTTGTTTTGTTTTATAAGTAAGACGCATTCAGAAAGCCTTGAGAGTAATCCATATAGTACACAACGAAGTTCTCAAAGTTAATTTCGGCAATCTTGCTTAAGTCTTCAGTTTTAAAATTTTGCATTGGATTTTATTTTTTGTACCTGATAAACTGAATATTGTAATTACAAAGAATTCACATCTAGTACATTAAAAAATATACAGCACACTTCAACTTACTGAAATGATGCATTGGAAAAGAAATTTTATGAATTATAAATGTTAATATTTTTTTTGGATTAAGAAAAATGAGGTAGATATTTATTAACATAAAATGTGGCTTTGTATTAATATTTCATGTCTTCAATTTAATTTTTTTTTTCTGCCACTAGAAACATGACAACTGAAAAGAGTTTAGTGGCAGATTCTGAGACTCCTAAACAGCAGCTCCCAAAAGAGGAGGAGGTGGTTGCTGAAACTGGTCCCCAGGAATCTCTTCTGGAGAAAGCACCTGAGGGGGATAATCCATCCAAGAAGAAGCTGAAAGCATCTAATGGTGACACACCCACCCGAGAGGATCAGAGTAGGAACAAAGAATGCAGTTCTGAAACTCGTGGCCTGTCACGCTTATTTTCATCACTCCTCAAGAGGCCCAAATCTCAGGTATCAGAAGAAGAAGGCAACGGGGCAGGAACAAAAGAACCTGGTGAAGAACACCAGAAAGAGACTGATATAGAAGTTGATCTCGATGAAGAGATTTTGCTGAAAGCCCCAATAGCAGCTCCTGAACCTGAACTTAGGACTGATCCATCTTTAGATCTTCACTCACTCAGCAGTGCAGAAACTCAGGTAAATATCATGTAAACGTAGTATTTTCCAGCTGCTTAGATTTCTAGGGAGATTCCTCTTAATATTATTCATACGACTTTAATTTAATATAGTTTATTTAGTAATTTAGTTTAATATAAACAAAACAGAATGTATTTTTATGTGGACTTTCATGGGTTTTATTCCCAGGAAAATATAAATGCTCTATTACACTAATATTGAAACTGCTGTACTGCCTTCCAATTCCAATTCAAGGAATTAACAGGGCCTTCCAGTCCCAATTCAGGGTGTACAAAGCCTCAGAAAGCTTATGTCAAAGATACTTGCAGTTGTCCCCATCCTGTCTTAAATTCTGGCTTTAACATGTCTAACATCCACAAAATGTCTGCTTTTCCAACGATCGAGCCATAATTGAAAACAAACTGCCTTTGGAGTTGAGGCATGCTGCTCATTTGCATAGGGATTTTAGATACTTTTTATGCCGCTGCTTTATGTTTTTTACCATAAAGCAGCAGCATAAAAATTATGTGGGTGCCACTTAGAGCCATTTGGCAGTAGGCAGCATGTACATTTGTAAAATAATTAGTCCATATTTTACAACTTTATTTTGAAGAAGTTTGTTTAGGTTCAAGTTGTGAAATGTTTCACATCTTTAAGGTATAATTTATGGAACAAGGTATTTTGTTACATTTTAAATTATATTGGAAAAGCTATATAATGGCATTTAAGTTTAATACACACTGTAAGGACCCACCCCACTTTACATCTTAAGAAGACAGAACTCTTGGAATATTTCTTCCAACAGGCATCCTTTATTAAGAGAAAATGGTTGCAGGCGTTCTAGACAGGACCTAGGCCCAAGCCCTACAGTTCAAGGTTTTAAGGGGTCCCCAGCAACCCCACCCCACCATCTTTCCAGTGACAATCCCAGGCGTTACATTTCCACCTCCTTTTTCCTCACTGCCAGTGGAAGGGAGACTTCAGAGAGGAGTAGATGAAAGCTGATGGCCCCATTGTTATGATTTAGTCCTTTTGGTGGTATCCACATTCAATCCCTTTGAAGTTGTACCGAAGGAAGTGAGGGCCATAAAACCCCTTTGTTCACCCCCCTTCCCCTTCATCGTATGACAGAATCCAGAGAGGGCAGAAATGGGGTTTTCCATAGCTGATAACTAGAGATGAAATATAATTGGATTCTGACACACACACACACACACACACACCAATCAGCTAAAGAGTTTCCTGGTTTTAAAATGTTTTACTTATCAAGTATTTTAAGTAATAAAGATTTATAAAATACAAATATAAACACATAGGAAAATATTTTATTTATGTTAGAATATTTTAATGATTTCAGCCTGCTCAAGAGGATAGGAGAGAAGATCAGGACCAAGATCCAGAGGACATAAATCTTGAAATTAAGGAAAAAGAACAGGTGGAGTGTTCCAATACAGGTGAAAAGAAAGAAAACAGGGGAAAGGTGGAAAAAGAATTAAAGAGTGCTTCCAAAACTGTAAAAAGACCCCGAAATAGCATGCATTGCAAGATTACCTTACTGGATGATACAATTTTTGAGTGTTCTGTGGATGTAAGTATATTTATATATTACGAATTGTTATTCTGAATTGTAACTATTATGGAGGGGGGGAGGAGAATGTGATTGGCCTGATCTTTTTGAAATGATATAACACCCTATTTTTCCCTATAGTAGCCTAAACAAATCCACCCTATCTTTAAATTACAAAGTTCATTTTTTAAAAAATTGCACTGATAAAATAACTATTTGGAGGAGCCACTACTTTCTAATTGGCCCCAGGAATCTGGTTAATTTTTTTTAGCAATCAGTGGCTTTTTATGTTTAATATGTTATCGGGAATGAATGACATTGTGTGTAAGGCAAAGAGACTTGATATTGGTATGGGAGGAACTGATTGGAACATACTACAGACATCTTTGAGCCTTGCTAAAAACATAGTTGTTGCACCTTTAAAGCTATGGATAACAGAAGTTGCATATGATACACTACCGTGTCCCTTTTGTTTGACTGTTGCACAGGCTGGGAATTAAGTATTACTGTTCTTTTTAAAAGTTCATTGATATTTTGAGTCACTAATTAAATCTAAATGCATATTTATGGCCAAGTTTTCTGTATTTCTATAGCTGATTGAGCAAAATCATTGTTTTAATTGACTTTATATGTTTTAGTTAGTGTATGAATGTTACATTATTATATAGTGGTATTAAAAATATTGCTATTAATATTATTTTACCCTGTGGTTACTTTATGTGTGTGTACCTTTGAAGTGTAATCTTTAATTCTACATGTAGAGAATGGAAGTTGAACAAAAATGCTAATTTGGAGATTCTTTTTTCATATGGGAGGCTCAGTGGTAAAATAGTGATTTCACTGCCTTGCATTCCATATGTATCATCTTTGATTAAAGATCCTAGGTTGAAGTCCTTGGAGAACTGCTACTAGCAGAGAAGACAACAGGCTGATGATATAAAGCAGCTTTTTATATCCTTTCAGCCTGACATCTATTTGTGGGCTGGGAAGCAAAAGCTTGCTGATGCTTGAAGAAAAAAAAAAACACTCGCCCATCAGTGCCTCAAGGAATGCTCCTGTATTGATTTATAATCTTTAGACTGTAGTGGAAACTTTCAGTTTGCCCATCAGCCAAAATCAGGTTTATGAAATTGTGGAGAAATACAGATGAAATAAACCAGCCATAATTCAACTATCTGTTGTTCTGTCCATTTAACTAATTTTTTAGTATCAAGTGGATGGTGACCACTAGAACTTCCATGGGTTTGTTAAAAATAGGCTATGCCAAATAATTTTTATTTGTCTTGCCAGTTTACAGCGGTGGTTGTGGCAGTCCCAGTTGCCATTGTTAGGTGACTCCTGCAGAATTGCAGCATCCTGGGGTCATATGCTTGCCATTTGTAACGTCCTGATGGCTTCTCCAATGACTGCTTCTTAGACGTTAGTAATGAAGATAATCACTGCTTATCCCATGACTGTGGGATGGTGTGATCATCATAACTGCGAGTAGGTTGCAACTGCCCAAATTATTCCATGACCACTGGAACACTGTGGCAGCCTGGTTGCAACTATGAGGACCTGCCATAAATGACCCTTGTTCAATGTCATCATAACTTTGAATGGTCATTGAACAAGTGGTTGTTCAATGCGGACTACCTATAGATGGAGTGTGCTTAGAGTTCAGTAAGGCATTTAATAACATTAACGATATATATATTGGCTGCCTATCTTATCACAGGGTAACTCACTGCAAGATTCATAATTGGTTAAATATCTGTACATAACATGTGAAGAAAGGTATGCGAAGTTAGGAGAATTGCTAACATTTCAGAAGATAGCATCAAGGTTCAGAAGGAACTATACACTTGAATATTGGGCCCTATCTAACAAAATGCTGTTTAGTGATGAAAAATGTAAGGTTCTGAACACTAAGTAAAGAAAACAGGTACAAAATGGGTGGTACTTGGCCAAGCAATAGTATTTGTGAGCAGGATTTGAATGTCTTGATAGACCATAAATTAAGCATGAGCCAAAAGACCCATGCAGTCTTTCATGGCATTAACAGAATTATAATGTCAAGATAATAGAATTGATTATTCCACTCTGCATTACACTGGTTAGACTGCACCAGTGTAGTATAGATGGAATTATCATTCCCGTAACTTTGACGTGGTCAGACTGCATTTAAATTACTGCTTTAATTTTTTGTCACTACAAGGCAAGATGAATGCTAAGGAACTAGAATACAGAGAAAAGCAGCAAAGATAGTGACAAGCTTAGACACTATATCATAAGAATTGGATATGTTTAGTTTAAAGAAGAGGAGACTTTTTTTATAATAATTTTTTATTTTTCCAAAATCTCCCCAATACATATACCATGATATTTATCAGATGTTAACATACATTCTTTTTACATTCATATATAAGATACTTTTAATAAAATGAAATAAATACATACACATGACTTTTGGTGTTGCTCGCCCATTTCCCCTTTCACTGTATCCACACTCCTTCTTCTCTACCTTCTTTCTCCCTTTCTTCTCTTCCCTACTTCCCTCTTCTTCCTCTCCTCTTCTCTTTCCTTCACCACTCTCCTCCCCTTTCTCCCCTCTAAAGAAGAGGAGTTTAAGAGGAAACATGACTGTAACCTTCCAATACTTTAAAGAACTATCCCAGGGAAGAGAGTATAGATAGTAAATGATGAACAGCTTTTATCAAAGAAAGACTTGATTCTCAAGTATGCTTCTATGCCCATTTATGATATGCTTGTATGCCCATTCATGAAATATTTATTTATTCATTTATTTATGTCCCCCACCTAGGACCAAAGCTAAAAATAAACCTTTACTATAATTATCTGTAATTCTATATAGAAAAAACTATTTGTATTCTTCTACAGAAACATGCCAAAGGACAAGATCTTCTTAAGAAAGTATGTGATCATCTCAACCTTTTGGAAGAGGACTATTTTGGACTGGCCATATGGGATACCCCAATATCAAAAGTAAGAAAACTATACACAAAAATGTTCTTAGTAGGTCATTGGGGGAAATTAATTTGCTTACATTTGGTGGAATGGTGGAGAAGAACTGAATTTTATTGGGAGAACAGATAATAAAGTGCATGCAACCTGACATTGCTAAATTTGTAGAAATTGGCTCTAACACAGAAAGGTACTAAACTGCATACTGCTGCACATACTAGTAGAAGATCTTCTGGATAGATCAGTACCATGGACAGCACCTGTGTCCAATGGCTTCTGAAATTTCTGAGCAGGCCAATGTACATGCACATACTATATCTACATATATAGATAGAGAGCTTATATAATTGGGGAGGAGGGAGTTGGTAGTTGTGTTTTGCTTTCAACTTGAAAACTGTCCAAAAATTTCCAGGCTTGTAAAATTGGAATTCTGCAATAATTAATATTGATAGTATGTCTGTGTATTTTTTTATTTTATTGTTTATTTTTCACTTTATTATTAGAAGATCATTTAAGATCATCAGGAGTTATGTCAATAGCTTGACTATGTTAAAATGTTAGTAATATTTGTAATTTTATTCTATTATTATGCTAGCTTTGTGCTGTATTAATGCAGCAATAATATATTTTCACATGATGTTATTTTTCAACATTTCAGATGATAAATATTTACTGTTTTCTTGTAGACATGGTTGGATGCTGCCAAAGAAATAAAAAAGCAGGTTCATGGTAAGTGGATTAAGGCTTTTTAATACAATGGTAGATATGTATAAATAAAAAGACAACTGATATCAGATTCCTCAAACAAGTAGCTATTAAAAAGGTTCAGGGTGAAATGCCTATGGATCATCCATAGAGTCATCAAAAAATGATGAAAGGAATTTGCAAATATATTAGTAAGATCTGCTTTGTAGTTTATCAAGTACAGTAGCTTATTTCTCCAGGTATGTTAATTGTATAGGAATATAATTGCATCATTGAGTTGGAATTAAACTTTTTGAAAATTATTGAAGGATAAAGTAGTCCAATTCATGCTTGTAGTTAAAGATTCACTAAAGCCTAAAATAGAATTTAATCTATTTTTATCCTTCCTTCCTTCCTTCCTTCCTTCCTTCCTTCCTTCCTTCCTTCCTTCCTTCCTTCCTTCCTTCCTTCCTTCCTTCCTTCCTTCCTTCCTTCCTAATAAAAGGTGCATAATAATGATTCAGTATTTAAATCACTTAGGAGATTACATCTTTAATTAACTTGCAGCTATAATAAACCGTGAGGTCTCACAGTGCATTTGTAGCTTTGTCACTGGATTCACCCATCACAATATACCTGGTTTGTTTATTGTTGGCTTAGCTTATTGTGTGAATGCAACAGTAAAGGTGTCACAAATTGGAGGGGCTGGCTTGCAGACACGAAGCAGGAGCTCAGTCAGAACTTGCTCTCATTCTATCTTGGCATGTGAGCTGTGAGCGTGTCCAAAGAAAGTAGAAGAAATATAGTTTAGAACACGCCTAGAGCATGAAGTATTAGAACTCTAACTTTAGGTGCACCAAGCCATGGTTTCCATGCGCAAAGCTGGATTTCTATCAGTACACATTATTGCTGTGCCAGCTTTATACCTGCATTTTATTGAAGGAAACTAAAAATTTGTATTTATCATACATTTTGAACGTATAAGCTTGGATTTATATATTAACTAGTACTTACAACAGTGGTCTGTAATAGACAGTCCTGTTTGGCACCCTACTTGCTTGGGATCAATTATTTCCTCATTTATTATCCAGATACAAACTCTGGTGTATAGACACCTAGCATATAATTTGCTATTGATATTCAATAGGCTAATTAACCTATAATTAGGTGAGTCACTCTTGTCACGCTTTTTACATAAGGAAACAATTATTGCTACTCTCAGTTCTCTGGCATCTTAGCTGTGTAGTTAATGTATGAAAAGAGAGAGGCCAGTACTGGTGCCCATCAGAGTTATATTTAATTAACTTGGAAGGAATACAATTACAACCCAGAGCTTTACTACACTTAAGTTGATTAATAATATTTTTTACTTCCTTACATATTACTGGGGGCCACTGGGGTAGAGGGATAAAGCCACATCCATCATGTAGGTGTCAGCGTGAGGATCATAATACAAGGCTTGCAGATATTATATGCAGGTATTGAAGGAAATAGACTGCATTTGGGTGGCATCGTTGTAGGAACAATTTGTCATAATATACCAGGGGTCTTTGACTTTGCAGCTTTGATTAGCTGTGACCATTTTTTTTTCTTCTGACCAAGGAGTTTTCCTTCCCTTTCTGAGCAAATAATACAGTTTCAGCCCCCGAGATGAGTGGTGGCCTAAAGATGAAGATGCTCACCTCCCATTCAGAAATTTGAGAGATCAATCCTAGGTGATGACAGATTGTTCTCCAGCATGTAAAGGAATGTAGAATCCACAGATGGGTTGATTTAGTCTTCTAGCCCAATCAGACCAAACAATCAAAGTTGCCACGCCTCTGCAGGGTCTGACCATGCCTCAGTTTCGTTTGGTCTCAGCCTGAAGAGACGTGAGAATTTGGCTCCCAATTTAGATTCAGAAAGGTAGTTATTGCCATTGTGGATTCTCTACCTTTTTTTTCCTTCTTTGGGGGGGGGGGGAATTGCTTCAGCTCTGGGCTCAGTGCTGCACCATTTCTTCTCTCTTTAATCAATTCCCTTCTCTGTTGAGTTTTTCAGAGGCAGACAGCTCATTACAGACAGCTGCCTCCTCATTACAATCCACCCCCCCACCCCCTCCCAGGATCTTCACTGTGAATACAAAGCTTTAAACTATTAGTTTTTGGCTGAAAACTCTCAATCACCTTCCTGGGTTCATTACCAATTCAAACAACCTGCGGGTGCCATTTTGAGCCTCTAGAAGTCTCGATCCTCACATTACTCAAGTACTTCTTTGTTACTGTTGATTGTCAGCTGTAAATTACCCAAAAAACTCACAGGTGAACTGTTTGACTAGAAGAACTTATTACCAGGATCTTTTCTCTCAGCTTGTTTTATCTCTCATTAGATTGTTGCGGCCGCCATTTTGGGCTCCACCCAATCACACACATTAAATTGACTGCTTTGACCTAATTACAGCCTTTTCAGTCACAAAGCAACTTACTTATTTGGTGATTCTCCCTACATGGGGGGGAAATAGGAGTTCTAATTACACTCTTTTAGGTCTTCATTACCTCGTGCTTCAGCTGCTTAATAGGAGCCATCTTAGGTTACCTAGTGGACATAGGGAAAATACCTTGAGGCTCTCACTCCATTTTATCTAGTAATATTCCAGACTGTGTGACTTACCAGTACCTTTCAAATATCCAGTGCCAACAGATTGGACTGCTGCTTGCCTTGCCTGTTTTCCGCTGTCTGCATAGTGGTTGGCACTTACTGTCCTAGCCATCACTAAGTGAGTCACGAGGGCCAAAATAAATAAATAAATAAATAAATTGAAAATTAATTAAAATAAAACAGAATTAAAATAAACAAGATATATATATATATATATATATATATATATATATATATATATATATATATATATATATATATTCATATATAGACTTATCTTTAATTGACATTTGATACTTTTTTGGCCAAATTGTCTCTCTATTACAGTGGGCCTGAAAAATTGAATGGGGAGGACAGCCCCTGAGCGTAGCGCGGCTTATATCGCGTAGTGACTCTGTGCTTAATGGTGGGCCGGACCTCACAGACCCTCGTGCAGACCTGTACCACCCAGGTGGGCCGTGGCCTTCCTTTCTCCTGCAGACCAAGGGCCGATCCAGGGATTTCCTGGTGAAAACCTGCCCTTTCTTCTCCTGCAGAACAGGACTGATCCAGGGATCTCCTGGTGAAAACCTGCCTTTTCTTCTACTGCAGTACAGGCCCGATTCAGGGATCTCCTGGTGAACACCTGTTGTTTCTTTCCTATTGTTTATTTCAATATGGCGGATAACACCGTTTCACAGGCTTCCACCTCCAGTGGAAATGTAAAACGCAAGCCATCCAGTCAAGATACACCTGCAAAAGCCAAGGCCAAGGTCAAACGGACCTCTAAGGCCGATGACAAGCAAGCAGATAGCAGACATAGGGCCCTGGAGCAACAATTCTCCAAAGCCCAGTGACAGGCAGGAGAGACACAGCTTATCTCCTCCCCTCCTCTTGCAAAACATCAGGGGAGCATCGGCCTTCCCCTTTTACACGGGCTTGGTCTCCCGAGCAGACCCTGGACCAGGGTTCTTTGCTGGGATATGAACGGGACCATCTGTCCCTCTTTGAACGAGAATTGAGATTACAGGTCCAAGATTCAATTCCAGCTGCTGAGCCAGGACCTTCCTCAGTGTCTTGTGGATCTCGGGGAGGTTACTACAGTCGTCCCTCCCCCAATCCCATCAGCATCTTTCATGCCGATGGCGGCGAGTCTTCAGGGCCCGAACATCCTTCATTTACTGTCCAGTTCCAAGCCATGATCTCACAGGCAGTGGCTCAGGTGATGGCGGCTTCAGGGAGGGCCATTCCGGTCCAAGGACCATCAAACCCCCCTATGCCCACGGAAACTATGCATCCCAGGGAGTTTGTGATCTCAGATCACGGTTCTCCACCTCAGTCTGAAGGGAGCGAGATAACAGATTATTCCGCACAGATACTGGAAGAAGGCATGTGGTCAGACGGGGAAGACATTCAGTTGGAGGCCACTCCTATGGTAGGGGTGTTTAATCCAAATTCCTTCTATTCTCTTTTACAAAAGGCCTATGTCACCGGGAAAATTGAACCGGTGAAACCACAGACAACGGATCAGGACTCTGGACAGAGTTCTGACCCACTGTTTCTGGAACCGGTCAAGAAGAACCTACAGATACCTTGTCCCCCCATGTTTCTCAAATCCATTCAGGATCAGTGGGGATCTCTGGAAGTTTCTCTGCTCTTGGGGGATTAGATTGTAAGGTCTTAGATATGGTCCCTTCCCTCAACGATGTCCTCGAAGTTCCGGGTGTAGATGAGGCTCTCGCCCCCATACTGTGAGACACCAAAATCCCAGGAGATATGTCGGAGGCCCTTAAGGCTGAGGACAAGAAGTCTGAGATTTCCCTCAAAAGGACCCATCAGGCATCGGCTTGGGCTATAAGAGCCTCAACATCTAACTCCTTCTTCGCCAGAATCGCATTAATCTGGCTCAGGGAATTACAGGCCAGAATATCCCCAGACGAAGTAAGGGTTCACCAGGATGTCACTAAACTAAGGGCCGCACTGGAATACATGGCAGATGTGTCTCTGCAGTCGGCCAAATATTCGGCTCAGGCCATAGCTTCCAACGTGGCCGCACGCCGGTTGTTCTGGCTAAAAAATTGGAAGGCCGATACCAGGCACAAATGGAGAGTAGCTGCGGCACCATATCAAAAGGGTCGCCTTTTTGGAGAGGCTCTCACTCCTTACCTGACTGAAAACAAAGAAAAGTTGAAGGTACTAGCTCATATTGTCAAAAAAACGGGCAGACGTTTTTCTCCATACAACCGGTGTCCTTCGTTTAAGTCTGGCTCAGACTGAGCTACCTGGAGCGGGTATTGACCCTTTCAAGCAGGGCCGGACTGCTCATCGGACCGGTCTGGCTACAGAGACAAGCCAAAGCCACAATTCCAGGCTAAGCGGCCCTTTCGCGGCAGAGGAGGTCGTCCTTCCCGAAAGTCAACGTGACTTGAGGTGGATTCCCCCCATTGGCAGAAGACTGGCACTACCACAAATGGGAAAGCACCACCACGGACAATTGGGTTCTAACCACTATCAGAGACGGACTGTCTCTGGAGTTCCTCACACTCCTCCCTCGGCGCTTCATCTCCTGCCCCCTATCCCGAAATCCCATGAAACAAGGTCTCATGGAGGAGGCCATTCATCATCTGTTAAGCATAGAGGCAATAGAGCGGGTACCCCCAGATCAATGGGGACTAGGTTTCTACTCCATCCTATTCGTGGTACCAAAGGCCTCGGGAGGATGGAGGGCGATCCTAGACCTCAAGGCTCTAAATCGGTACCTAATTTACCAAAAATTCAAGATGCAAATTCTTCATTCTATTCTGGGCAATATTCGGCCAGGGGACTTTCTTACATCCATAGATCTGACAGAAGCTTACCTGCACGTTCCCATACATCCAAATCACAGGCGTTTTCTCAGATTCAGGTATTCCAACCATCACTATCAGCACAGGGCCCTGCCATTCGGCCTATCGTCCGCTCCAAGGGTTTTCACCAAAATCCTGGCGGTTCTCGCCGCACAGCTCAGGTTGGTACCAGTCTGCATTCAGTGCTACTTGGACGATATCCTAATCCAGTTGTCCTCGGCACTGAACGCCCGATCAGACGTGGCACTGACGATCAAGACACTCCAGGATCATGGATTTATGATCACCTTCCCAAAGAGCCATCTGAACCCAGCAAACCGTTTGCTCTACTTAGGCGCAATAATAGACACCAACCAGTGCTGAGTTTTCCTGTCTCAGGAGCGTCAGCTCAGCATAGGTACGATGGTCACCAGGGTGCGCAAGGAGAAATGTGTAACCCTGATCCTACTGTCACAGCTGTTAGGGAAACTGATCTCATGTATTGCCATAGTGCCCTGGGCCAGGCTTCAAATGAGACAACTGAAGTGGTTTCTACTCCCTTACCAGAAATGGGGTGTAGCATGTTTTCCACAGAGGGTGCAAGTCCCACCACAGACACTCACGTCCCCCATCTGGTGGTTGTCCCCAGCATTGTCCAAAGGATCCCTGTTCAGAGAACCGACTCGGGTAACCTTGACCACAGACGCCAGTCTGTTTGGATGGGAGGCACATCAGCAATCCCAATTCGCCCAGGGGCGGTGGTCCCAACAGGATCTCAAGAAAAATATCAATTGGTTAGAGCTGAGAGCCATACACCTAGCACTTTGCCATTTCCACAAGAAGTTGGCGGGCCGCCACGTGCTGGTTCTGACAGACAACGTGGTGGCAAAGGCCCATGTCAACAGGCAGGGCGGCACTCGATCACGGATTCTAATGTCCGAGGCCCAGTGTCTGGGGTCATGGGCGGAACAGAATCTGTTGTCCCTAAAGGCAGAACACATCTCGGGTGGAAAACGACCAGGCGGATTTTCTGAGTCGATCTACGATAGATCATTCGGAGTGACGTCTACATCCCTGTCTCTTTCGGGAGATAACTCACTGTTTCGGTCGGCCCAAAGTCGACCTGTTTGCATCCCCGACAAACGCCCAGCTTCCCCGGTTTCTATTCCCCAGTTTCTATCTCGGTACCCATCCCAGGGTTCGGAGGGAGCAGACGCCCTCCGCAGCCCTTGGCTGGCGGGCCTTCTATATGCATTTCCACTCCTTCCTTTGATCCCGGCCATCATCAGGAAGCTGTTACAGGAACGGGCGGAGCTAGTTCTTGTGGCCCCATGTTGGCCGAGGCGTCCATGGTTCGCGGATCTCGTGAACCTTGCCATGCCCCCCCCGGCAAATCCCTCCAGAGAGGATAATTCTAACGCAGGGGTTCATACACCACCCGGACCCGCAGTGGCTACAACTAGCCGCCTGGCATCTGAGCGCCAGTTCCTGATGTGTGGATCTTACTCTTCAAGGGTGATAGCTATGATCCAAGCTTCCAGACGGCCGGCGACGAACCAGATCTATGATGCCACTTGGAAGAACTTCTGTGACTGGTGTACCTATAAGGGTTTGTCTATCTCTTCTGTCACTATTCCAGTGATTCTTGAATACCTCATGGATGGAGTGGATAAGGGCTTAGCGCCCAACACCTTGCATAGACAGGTGGCCGCTCTTTCCACGGTATTCACCTGTGCCAACACCACTCCATTGTCCCATCATCCCAGGGTCCGGTCCTTTATGAAGAGTCTCCAACACCAGACCTCCGGTAGTACACAGGTATCCATCTTGGGAACTACCTTGGGTTCTGCAGGCACTCACTAGGTCTCCCTTTGAACCTATAAGGTCTTGTCCTCTTCACATTTTGTTCCACAAGGTGACCTTCCTAGTAGCCATCACGTCGGCAAGGCACGTGTCAGAGCTGGCTGCTCTTTCAGTTAGGGAAGACCTTTGTACCTTCTATCAGGACAGAGTGGTGATGAGGTTAGATCCCTCATTCATTCCCAAGGTGAATACACTGTTTCACCGGGCTCAGGACATTGTACTACCAAATTTTTGTCCCAATCCTTCTCACACACTAGAAAAGCAGTTGCATTACCTAGATGTACGTAGGACATTGCGTCATTACATTAAGAGGACAGCTTCCTTTCGCAAATCGGAGGCATTGTTTGTCTCTTTCCACTCAACTTCCAAGGGACAGAAGGTTTCCTCCTCTACTATAGCCAGGTGGATCAAGGACTGTATCTCTCAATCTTACCAGGCTTACTCTTTACCTGTCCCAAGCTGCCTGATAGTGCACTCTACTCGTAGCGCTTCCACGTCGGCCGCGTGGCAGACTCAGGCATCCATAGAGGACATCTGTAAGGCGGCTACGTGGTCGTCCCCTTCACCATTCATTCGCCACTACAAACTCGACAAGTTTGCTTCCGCAGAGGCCGCTTTTGGCCGTCGGGTTTTACAACAAGTGGTCCACTTCAGCAACGACACTTAACCAACCTGCTTCCCACCCGTGGGATCAAAGGGGCTTTGGTATGTCCCATCTGTGGATTCTACATTCCTTTACATGCTGGAGAAGGGGCGTTGTCTTACCTGAACGCCTTTTCTCAGCATGAGGAATGTAGAATCCACCCCCTCCCTGATCATTACTAGCAGTTAGGTTAGTGTCAGCAGTTCGGAGCCATCACGTCACACAATCATTCGCTTCGCCCTTTCGAAACTGGGGCATGGTCAGACCCTGCAGAGGCGTGGCAACTTTGATTGTTTGGTCTGATTGGGCTAGAAGACTAAATCAACCCATCTGTGGATTCTACATTCCTCATGCTGAGAAAAGGCATTCAGGTAAGACAACGCCCCTTCTCTATCAGGGTGCAAAGAGAAAATATCTGCTGCGAACACCACATAGGCATCAATAAGGGCAACCACCCAGTAAACACTCAGCTCCATTCAGTTGCCCTGACTCCATTCCAAATAAAGGGATTACAGGATTGTAAAAAGAAAAAAAAAGTACAATTTCAACAGCAATGTAGCATTTGTCAAGCTAGTTCTTGGAATTGTGACCCCTCCGGTTCAGATTGGTCTTTGTTTTCCTTACAAAAGATTGGTGTCTATGAGTACAAGCCCATGATATACATTTAGTTGACTCCTTGAATGTGATTTTATTTAATTTTTAGGAATTGAAGTTGTGATATTATAGCTGGTAGGCATAGGATTAAGATACTTCTTTTTAAAGGCAGAGAGATTCTAGGTTTGTTGTTTTATTGTAATTTTATTTTTGGTCTATAATACACTGGAGAATTTTTGCTTAGAATATTTATGTTTATAATGTGTTACTTCCATATCTTCTGAGCAAATTATAGCAAAACTGATGGAAATGAATTTGGTCAAGGAGGAGTGGAGATCTTGTGGTTTCCAGATCCCTTTCAGTGTCTGTTAGCTCTTCAGTCAGTTGAAGATAAGAATGATAATTTAATAATTTGCAGACTATTGCAAATTAACCAAAAATCTCACTTAATTTCAGGAGGTCCATGGATTTTCACTTTCAATGTCAAGTTTTATCCTCCAGACCCAGCACAATTAACAGAGGATATAACAAGGTTTGTGATATCATTAAATCACTATTTTTAAACCATGACACCTTTAAAGATATGTGGATTTCAGCTCTTCCTTAACCAGCATGCTGACTGGGGTATTCTGGGGATTGAAATCCATACATCTTAAAGTTTTTAAGATCGAGTAATACTATCCTAAACTAATAAAAAATGCATTTCAAAGATTTACTAGTACAAAAAATAAAAACATGAAATTAAAATACTTGGTTTTGGGTAATGCGTATATAAGATATGTATATAAATATAAATAAATAAAATATATAAGAGAAGCCTTAACTGGTGCTCCTCAATCTGCAAGAAAAGATGCAATCAGGACACAATTATAGGGGAATAGGTAAAACAGTTTAATGCACCCATCAGTCTTGGAAGACAGATATAATGTTGGTTTAATGGTGAACTTGGCTTCATTATACATTTCCTCCTTTTTTGAGAAAGAGAATTCTATTTTTGTATCCTGACAATTCATCTTCTGCATATAACAGAAGAAAATAATATTCTGCTACATAATGCTGATTTTGTGCTTATTCCATAAGGTACAAAGTGAGCAACCTTATCTTTTATCATGTGTATGCCAAAAACAAGTAATACTTGGTTTTAGGAAGCTTTCTTTAAAACTGAAATAATTTTCAATCCATCTGGTAGATTTTTTAGTTAGACATTGCAAGTGAAGAGGTGCTTTGCTGGGTATTGATGCAATTGAATCTTTGAATTCGTTGGTATGATGTTTGTATTTTGCAGGTATTATTTGTGTCTCCAGTTAAGAAAAGATATTATTAATGGGCGGCTTCCTTGCTCCTTTGCTACGTTAGCTTTGCTGGGTTCCTACACAATCCAATCTGAGTTAGGAGACTATGATATAGATCTACATGGTGCAGATTATGTCAGTGAATTTAAACTGGCCCCAAACCAGACAAAAGAACTAGAAGACAAGATCACAGAATTACATAAAACATACAGGTGAGTATTAAACCTGTCATTGAACAAGTGTTGTATAACCAATTAAAGTAGTGTGTGTGCATTTGTATGTAGAAATATGAATATCTTTAAAACATGGATACAGTGATAATTATTGATTTCACTTAGGTTATAATCTATCATTATAAGTCAAAGTAAATTATTCTTGAAAATTAAAAATTAAAATCAACTTAATATGTTGGGTGAACTCAACCAATGGTGAACAAGTTTAATTAAATTTTCATGGTTCAGTGGACTCAGGACACCTTCTAAGTGCTGCTAAAATGCTATTTTGGCACCTATTTGTTTATAGAACTATGAGTCCAGCTCAGGCTGATATGGAGTTTCTTGAGAATGCTAAAAAGCTGTCGATGTATGGAGTTGATCTTCATAAAGCCAAGGTAAGAGAATATATTTGTTTATAATATTTTTATATGTTTTACTTATATATCACACCCAATTGCAACTCTGGTTGGTAAAGGTAGGATTAAAATCAAACAAACTGAATAAGCAAAATAAGAAAGTAAAAAAGAAAATAGGGGTGACCAAAAGCAAGCTGAATTCCAATAATAATACAAATAAAAACTTACTGCAATAGATTCACCTAACCTCCAGATTCCATGTCTGAGGAAAGGGCCAGATCTTCAAAAATTTTTAAAATACTAGCAGGGTTTGGGGTTCTCCAAATCCAGAGGTGTAGCATTCGAAAGAACAGGTGCTGTAACAGAGAAAGCTTGCTTTGTGGAACCCACCAGATGCCACTAGTTAATAGACAGGCCCCAGAGTATGGGAGATGGGAAGAATCTGTCTTTTTACACATTCTGAAATCCTGCGCATAATCTAACCATACTAATTCTAGCACCCATCTGTCTATGCTCTTGAGTGTTCTAAAGAAAAAGAATGTAGAGCTAATTCAGAGAAGGATGGTTTCCCAGCTTTCCCAGAAGAGATAGAGTTGGCCCTTTCCATAATGCTTTTCTGTTTTTATGTTGCTTCATGTACAAACAGTGAAGTCCTGGATTAAATTTAGGAACTTTTGGGAGGGATTTTGCCCTTGGTGAAAACATTGAAAAATGACTTGACAATTATGAAGAGAGAGCTTTTATTTGGTGGGGGGGGGGGAGGAAATATGCTTGAATGAAGGCAAACAATTGTGTCTGAAACTATATTTATCTTGTTGGATCAAGGCTAATGTAATAAAAATATGGAACATTTAATGGAAAACTGTATTTGAAGAGAGCATATTACCCAGGTCAGGATTTTGTCAAGAAAACAGTATATAGAAGAAATTAAAAATAACTAGTGCAGAAGTCATGGATAGGGTCAAGCATTTTTAATGTTAAGGAGACTTCTGATGAGGATGGTGCGTTAGCACATCTCTGAACAAGCAGAAATGACATCATAGATAAGGGGAGGATGAGACATAGCCTGCTTGAGAGGAAGGAGTAAAAAATTGTTTGTTTAACCAAAGTTAAACAATGTCCTTATCCTTTCCTTTTTATCTCTTCCGCTTTCTCTTTTTCTGACTTTACTTTGTATGATCTTTTATTGTTTTTAATTTTTTAAAATATTTTTTTAAAACGCTGAAATAAGAACGTATGAGTATTATATCCTATTTTCTTTTTTTTCCACAGGACTTAGAAGGTGTAGACATCACACTAGGAGTATGTTCCAGTGGTCTTCTTGTCTACAAAGATAAATTGAGAATCAACCGTTTTCCTTGGCCCAAAGTGTTGAAGATCTCTTACAAGCGCAGTAGCTTTTTTACTAAGATCCGGCCTGGTGAGGTAGGTTATGGAATAATTTTATCTTCATTCTAATTGAATGCATTTGTCTTATCTTAGAGAAATATTAAGGATAAACTATTTTTCAAATAACAACTTAATCCGGATGTTGAACAAAAATCTATCCACAATCATGCATACAATGGGGCAAAAAAGTATTTAGTCAGCCACCAATTGTGCAAATTCTCCCATTTAAAAAGATGAGAGAGGCCTGTAATTGTCATCATAGGTAGACGTCAACTATGAGAGACAAAATGAGAAAACAAATCCAGACAATCACATTGTCTGATTTGGAAAGAATTTATTTGCAAATTATGGTGGAAAATAAGTATTTGGTCACCTACAAACAAGCAAGATTTCTGGCTCTCACAGACCTGTAACTTCTTCTTTAAGAGGCTCCTCTGTCCTCCACTCATTACTTGTATTAATGGCACCTGTTTGAATTTGCTATCAGTAGAAAAGACCTGTCCACAACCTCAAACAGTAACACTCCGAACTCCACTATGGTGAAAACCAAAGAGCTGTCGAAGGACACCAGAAACAAAATTGTAGACCTGCACCAGGCTGGGAAGACTGAATCTGCAATAGGCAAGCAGCTTGGTGTGAATAAATCAACTGTGGGAGCAATAATTAGAAAATGGAAGACATACAAGACCACTGATAATCTCCCTCGATCTGGGGCTCCATGCAAGATCTCACCCCGTGGGGTCAACATGATGACAAGAACGGTGAGCAAAAATCCCAGAAGCACACAGGGGGACCTAGTGAATGACCTGCAGAGAGCTGGGACCAACGTAACAAAGGCAACCATCAGTAACACACTACGCTGCCAGGGACTCAGATCCTGAAGTGGCAGATGTGTCCCCCTGCTTAAGCCAGTACATGTCCAGGCCCGTCTGAAGTTTGCTAGAGAGCATTTGGATGATCCAGAAGAGGATTGGGAGAATGTCCTATGGTCAGATGAAACCAAAGTAGAACTGTTTGGTAGAAACATAACTCACCGTGTTTGGAGGAGAGAGAATGCTGAGTTGCATCCAGAGAATACCATACCAACTGTGAAGCATGGGGGTGGCAACATCATGCTTTGGGGCTGTTTCTCTGCAAAGGGACCAGGACGACTGATCCGTGTACAGGAAAGAATGAATGGGACCATGTATCGTGAGATTTTGAGTGCAAACCTCCTTCCATCAGCAAGGGCATTGAAGATGAAACGTGGCTGGGTTTTTCAGCATGACAATGATCCCAAACACACTGCCCGGGCAACGAAGGAGTGGCTTCGTAAGAAGCATTTCAAGGTCCTGGAATGGCCTAGCCAGTCTCCAGATCTCAACCCCATAGAAAACCTTTGGAGGAGGTTGAAAGTCCGTGTTGCCCAGCGACAGCCCCAAAACATCACTGCTCTAGAGGAGATCTGCATGGAGGAATGGGCCAACATACCAGCAACAGTGTGTGCCAACCTTGTGAAGACTTACAGAAAACGTTTGACCTCTGTCATTGCCAACAAAGGATATATAACAAAGTATTGAGATGAACTTTTGATATTGACCACATACTTATTTTCCACCATAATTTGCAAATAAATTCTTTCCAAATCAGACAATGTGATTGTCTGGATTTGTTTTCTCATTTTGTCTCTCATAGTTGAGGTCTACCTATGATGACAATTACAGGTCTCTCTCATCTTTTTAAGTGGGAGAACTTGCACAATTGGTGGCTGACTAAATACTTTTTTGCCCCACTGTATCTTGGTAGATTATGACTTACTTCCTTTGATGCTTCTTATAAGAAAATGTCTTTGGGCCTGGGTTGAATAGTGCAGATGGTTTGATATGTGGCTTTGTTGCATTTTATATTAGACATACTTCAGTCTATATCAAATGAACATGTCTTGGATGAATTCAGAGTTCTTGCTATAATAAGGATGTGGATATTGCTATTATAGTAGTTTTGAAGTTTAAAAATTCATTTTAGATTCAGATATATATGTTCCATGATATACATATTTCTATTGATTATAACATATTTTACCAGTATAGCTGTGTTGTTGTCAGCATTTAAAAAAACATGTCATCTTGTAGTAAAATTTGACCAAGCCATGTTGTGATTTTAATGTAAGATCATATTGCTTTTTTCTGCTTTGGGAAAATGCTTTTTAGAAATGGTATTTTTAAACAATTTCAGTTTGTATCTATTTTAATCCTAATGGAAGGAGTAACTTTTCATAAGCTATTTGATTCGTTAAATGGTAAAAATGAAGTATTCAGTTTCCTATAACAGCTACTTTATGCAATCAAACCATTATAGTTTCAATGCAGCCACATAGCTGAAAAATTTTTTAAATGATTTTTAGGGTTATACTTTATTTTCTATATTTTTACTTATTTCCTCCCTCCTCCTATTTTTCCCACAACAATTGTGTGAGGTGAGCCAAGAGAGAGTGATCGATTCCTTCCTTCACTGTTTTATTTTTTCAAGGCTTTTGCCCCTGTTTCCCCATTGTTTTTTTTTTTCATTTCCTTTGTAATTTGCTTTCTTTAGTTGATGATGTTGGGTAACTTTTTCAATAATAGCTTAAATTAAATTAAATTTACTGGCTTTGTTCTTAATGGCTATTTCTTTTTAAAAATTCAATTATTTTTTTAATGTAATAAATAATTTAATCCAGTGATAACTTCTGTGCCAATCAAATTTGCTCTATACTATTTTCCATAGCATGAACAATATGAAAGTACTATTGGATTCAAACTTCCTAGTTATCGAGCAGCTAAGAAATTGTGGAAAGTCTGTGTTGAACATCACACATTTTTCAGGTTTGCATTTGTATTTTTAATTGCAGGCTAATTAAGAAATGGTGTTTCTAAATCCACTTCTGATCTGAATTGGATGAGATCAAATGTGGTCTCATACTTCAGACCTCCAAAATCCTAATTGGCCAATGGCTAGTGGTAGCAGGTGGCTTTGATTTCCCAGTATTTGTCTCTGAAAGTAGGTCAATATCAGTAGCAAAGACTCTTCTTTGTCCTCACAAGGGATGCACAACTCATCCCAAGCATGGAACAGCTGGTATTGTTAGTCCTTGTCCTAATCAAGATACAAATATGGTCGGTCCTCATTGATCACTTGTTCAGTGACCATTCAAATTTACAGTGGTGCTAAACAAATAGCAGTTACAACTGATCCTCATACTTAATAGTCACTGTAGCATCCTCATGTTCATATGATTGTGATCTGGGTACTTGGTGGCTAATTCACGATTGTGCCATTGCAGTTTCCGGCTGTCATGTAATCATGATTTGTGACCTTTCCCACGAGCTTAGGACTAGCAAAGTCAATGGGGAAGCCAGCAGGAAGTTGCAAGTCACTGTTACATGAAGTCCTCACTTAGCAACCCATATGGTCCTCACTTAATGATGGCAACTGGACTGTTGACTCTAAAAAACTGCAGTCATGTGATTTTTTTTCAAGTATTAACATAAGTAGGCAAAGACTACCTGTATTTCAAATTATTTTGCCTATTTTTAGAATGAAATGGAACTTTTGTTACTGACATGGAACAAATAGCAGTTGCTTCAGGCAGAAGTGGATTGAATGGTGGGTGATGGCATAAAAGTGGGAAATAGTCAAGGAAATTAGTTGCTAAGGGGAGAAAAACAGAAGTGTCGGGATGATTGGGAGGCTTGTTCTTTATTGCTGAAACCATAGTAAAAAGTAACAGGTGCAGAGGCCAGTACATTGACAGTAGCTGAGGGGAAGAGCACAAAGCTTTGAATAGCATAAAATTGATCAAGTGTTATCTATATTGATAAACGAATAACTAAATGTAAATAGTCAGCTTCTCTCATAGTAAGAATGAGCTAATTTGTTGTACATAATGATTCATTACTTCAGAATGAAGTAATGGAGGTAGCCCCTGTTTCCAAAGTTTCTCTAAATAAAAAAGCATTCACTGATCAGACCAATTATCCTGTACAACCTAATCTGTTCTCTTGAGAGTTCTTAGTTCTTCCGTCAGACACTTGCCTTTTTTAGCTAAGCATAGAAAACTGGAAAGGGGGATTCTTTAAAATTTCTTACCCAGAATTTAATATAAATTGTGCTTATTTTATAAGGGAAACTATAGTCCTATGCAATCTTACACAGGGGGAATTTAATGAGAAATTCTCTTATTAAATCAGTGAAGCCAAATCTGTAAATATTTTTCACAAATTGGAAAACAGAAATTTTAGAAAACAAAAAAATGTAGCAATCACATATTCCACAAAATCTCATTTAGATCTATATTTACCTTTAAAAAGTAGACAGAGTGTGCCTTGGGTTTCCTCCTGATGGATGTGAATGGCACTTATAGGTGAATAAAATAATGATACAATTAAGATAGCACTCACTATTGAGTGGCTGTCATTTTATTTGAGTTGGAATCATATCCCTGGGTTATACATTAATACCATTAGAATATGCATGTATCTTTTAGATTAACATCAACTGAAGCGCTTCCCAAGAGCCGATTCTTGGTGCTGGGTTCTAAATTTCGCTACAGTGGCCGGACACAAGCTCAGACCAGACAGGCTAGTGCCCTCATAGATAGACCTGCACCACAGTTTGAACGAACAGCAAGTAAACGTGCTTCTAGAAGCCTTGATGGTGGTGAGTACCCTGAACTTTCTCTTCTTTATTATAAGTTCCAGTCTTAAGTTGGTTTTTTATGGATTCTACTGAGTTGGATTGCAGTAATATTTTTCTTAAATGTGTAGTAAGTGATTAAAAAGTGTTATTAGATTCACATGGGAAATTTGAAAAAAAAATGTGGAACTGAAAACTGACATCTGATTCTTACCATTCCCTGGTTACTGCAACTCTGTTACTTTGCCACGTTCTGGGGATCATGAAGAAATAACTATGATCTCCTATGTGACTCATTGTTCCTTTTATGTAACGTGAATGCCTCATAAAAGACTTCCATGTTGGTGACATAACATGAAGACAAATAATTTTAAAATGTTCATAAAAGTAGCTTTTAAATCTTCCTTAAACACAACAATGCTTCTTCTAATATAGCTAACAATTGTCAATTTTAAGAACCATTTCAAATTTGGAGATAATTTTAACTGAAGGCAGATGAATATAAAATTGAAGAAATTAACAAAGCAGTTGCATCCAAACTGAAATTTAGCAACTTTTTTTCCTATATACAATGTTTTGTATATTCTTAACATGTGCACAATTTCTTCAGCTAAACGTGGCTCTCAAAAAATTCAGTTCAAACTCGTAGAGGAGGAGAAGCAGGAGGATGTGGTGTTGGTTGGGGTTCCAGAATCAGAACCTGTGGAACAATTTCAGGAGAAGCCAGGTATCACTGTGGGTAGCTCTGATTCTCTCTCTGTCCTTGTCTCTGCGGTGCTTTTTCTATCCTTTTGCAAGCGGAGACATCTTACCTGATTCTGAAATGCTTCACATGTTCTGGGGTATATTTTTCCTACCAGGAAATCCCCCCCCCTCCAATCTCATAAAGGAATAAAATGAGTTCTCAATAATTTGAAAACAAAGCCCCTCCCTGTATATTAGTACTTAAATTCTTGCATCAATAATAGAGCCACAAATCTCAGTTGCTTCAGAAAATAGTTTGGATCTAAGGTGTCAGATGAATGAAGGAGAACCTTTGCAAAAGAGTTGTTCAATCTCCCTGGGCAGCTGTATTCTTTGGTATGGATAGTTTGTAATTTCTGTGCTGGAAATGTCATTTATGCAGTCCTAAAGTTATATTCAAAATTAGGATATCTTTGGGTTTCTTTTGCTGTAATTAAAGCATTATTTTTCATGAGGATTTCATCCTATTTTTAAAAACATTAAGCTTGTCTATAACAGTATAATCTGGCTAGGAAAGCTGTACAAAGCAAGTTAGATTTCTTCTGACACACATTTCAGAGCATATTTAAGGCATTAAATTCAGTCTCAGTTTTGCTGCTTTCACAATGCTGTTTTATTTTGTCATTCTTAATGATAAGACATATTTAGAGCAATTTGTTAAATAGCTTATTTTAATATTATTCAGATGAAGTAGGATTATTCTTACATATTTCCTGTTGTATAATTCAGATGTCTAATCAGATTTTTGAGAATTGGTATCAGTTTCTGTGTATATTATTAACATTTCATATTATAAGACTGAAGAAATTTAATGGGAGAGTAGTATCCTTTTATAAACAAAGCAGGATACTATCTATATAAACGCATGCCCCTTGTTCTTCTGGTGTGTTCAGGTAACAGAATGGTGACAAGTTGCAACCTTCAGAATTGTAATATGTTGTTAGATATTAAATTTGCATTCTATAGTTTGTACACAGTACTTGCGAATCATTTATCAAGTTGGATAGAGAAAGCAAGTAGAACAGTTAGATTGTTTATATTTGGATCTAATCTAAAGACAGATTGCAAGCTCATTTCATATCTTTGAAGCAGTCACATCTTTTTTAGAGCTGAATGACTGCTTTAACAGAAAAAAACATGGAGCAATGTGTCTATGCATGTATTTACATGCAAAAATAGCTAGACACAACTGAGTGAGCTTGGAAGAAGAGACAAAATTCTATTTACAAGTTTGCTCCCAGTAATTCTCTTTTAATTTTTGAAGTTTTAAAATGCATTCGTAACTTTTATAGCTATACATGTTCTAGACATAAGTACAATAAAAGAAGAGGAGAAAGAAGAAAAATCAGTTGTGCAGGATCTAGAGCCAAAATCGATATTACTTGAAACTATTCAGGAAGAGTCAGGTATCTCAGTAACAACTTATATTTTGTTACTAATATATTTTCTTTTGGTGACTAATATTCATTCTTTATGATTTATCTAATAATTCACTAAACTTATTATAGCAATCAATACTTACCAGTAGTATGACACATGATAATGGGTAGAGAACTCCAGGAAACTTAATATATTTATATGATAAACTTGAAATTGTGAAAGGGGCCATTCATAATTAAAGTTGTTCTAAAAGAGTTTATATAAGGTTTAGTTTAATTTTGATAGTATGCATGTGGTTTGCACTGTTTTTCTCTTTTCTGGAACATTGTCAGTGTGAATGAGCATGAACTATAAGTGGTAGCATGGAATATAAATACATACTGAGGAAAAGGAAGTGAAGTACAGATAATCCTCCACTTACACCATTAGTTTAGTGACTGTTCAAAGTTAGGGGTCCTTGGTGCTCGCTGAGCTTGGTTGTTTTCTTGCAGACATTTCATTACCCCAATTAGTTAAAATCATCAGCACTGATAATGTTACTGATAATGTAATGAAACATCTGCGAGAAAACAAGCTCAGAGAGCCCAAAAGACCCCTTCTTTCAACCCTGAGCTACAAATATTCTCCTTTATTGTTCAAAGTTACAATGGCACTGAAAAACGTTTTTCACACTTTGCAGCAACTCTGTGATCTCATGATCAAAATTTGGATGTTTGGTAATTGGCATGAATTGATGACTATTGTAGTGTCATGGGTTCACCTTTTAGCAAGCAAAGACAGCGTGGAAGCCAGCTTCATTTAACAACCACTTAATAGTGATTCAGTTAACACCTGTGGCAAGAAAGGTTGTAAAAAGAGGCAAAACTCAGTTATTGCTTAACCACAGAAATGTTGGGCTCAATTGTGGTCATAAGTTGAGGAGTATCTCTACATACATTTGGGAATTAGGGAGACTTTAGTAGTGCCAGTTCAGCATTAAAGAACCAAAACAAAATATGGAAGAGATAGTATCAAAGGTAATTTTTTTAGCTTGAGTAATATCATTTGACGTTGATCACGTACAGTATACTTGATGGATGAAATGTGTACTCTAATTTCAAACTTGAGGCAATGTAGCAATAGTAATGAGTGTGTGAAATAAATTAATACAGAAGTAGCATGAAGTACTATTGCTGCTCATTCTTTTGCTGCCTTTAGTTTTCTTAGGACCCAGTCTGAATTTATTGTTGCATCTTAGAGGTGATGTAATTTATCTTGTGTTTCACTGTCCCATTTAAGAGAAAGAAAGCTGTTAAAGACTGTTGTCATGCATTCTGGGCTTTTTCTGCACTATTCTGCACTATTCTCACAACATAGGATATACAGTAACTGAAAATTGCTTTGAAAAAAGCAGCCAGTATTACGATTGGGCCACCCTTTGAAACAAAAATACTTTTTTAAAATAATCTTTATAGCTGATAAGGATTTTATGTCCTGTCAGTAACTCAAGTGATCTTGTTTTGCATTTATCACTATGAGAAATAGCAGTAATTAGATGATGATATATTGTCTGTGATAATTATTTTCACCAGTTACCTACTTTATACAGTGACTCTTGAAATAAAAAAGCTTTTTACATAGTGTGTTGTTCATTAACGTTAAATGTGCAGCTCTTGGTGGTATTAAATGTTTTCCTTAGCATTTTTCTTCATGCATTATTTAAAATAAATTCTGCTTTAGACATGCCAATTGCTTTGCATATCTTTCTTTTGCAGTGTTGTGGCTTTCTTCTTGATTCTGTTCTGTACTATAACTGAAGATATATTTATTTCTTCTTAGCAGTAGCAGTGGTTACACCTGATAGAAGCCCGCGGCCTACATCTGCACCAGCTATTGCTCAGAGCCATGTTACTGAGCCAACTGTACCAGCCGTATCTGTCAGCAAAGAACCTGCAGTTCTTAAAATTGAAAAGGAAACAGTAAAAAAAGAAGTAAAACTTGAAGGAACTTTGCAAGATAAAGCCAAAACAGAACCAGCTGAAGGATTTCAGGTAGGATGGTCCACCATTTTTATCATTATTGGTAAAGATGGTTTTGTTTGTTTTAGAATAAGGTAAGAGCTGGATCCCACTCAGAGCTAAACCACTTGCATAGGCAGCCAGTAAAAGTATTTATCACTTATTCTGGTTTTGTCTCAGTCTGAAGGTGAAAGGGCAAATTACATTGCTTTCCAAGCACTGCTTTTACAACCTAAGAAAGTTTCAAGACAAACATTCTTCAGGATTTCCTTATAACCAAATAATTCTGAATGTGTTGATCAGTGTACTTCCTAAACTTTGCTTTCCAATAGTTTTTTATTCTATTCTGAGATCTTAAAACCATACTAACTTGTAGTCATATTTTTTCCCCACACATAATGACCATGATCTCTAGCTGCAGTTAGAGACAGTTTCACATGCCTTTTGGTTCTTCTTTGACACTCTATTCAAAGTATATTTTAACTTTATTGCAAATCTTCTATACTCATTCATTGCACTTCTTGGAATTTGAAGGAATACTGAGCAAGTCTATCAGATTGACACTATAAGTGGCAAATTGGATTGCTTGAATAGTCACTTGTATTTTAATCATCAATGATTAATGAAATATATTACTCAAAATAGGTGCTTATAAAATCCCTCTTCATGTATTTTCTTAGAGCTGCTTTTACTTATTCAATAGGTTAGATTTTGTCTCTATATTTCATTACAGATTGCTAAGACTTTGTCCTAATTACATAGATTTATTTATTCATTTGATTTATTATGAGTGCCAACTCCAAAAGAATCCAAATGTTTAAAAAGTCAATACAGGGCTTAAACATATTTCTTCAAAAGTATGGCTTAGCTGCAGTTAGTTAATTCTTGTCATTGATGGAAATGAATTCAGAGTTTGGAGTAGAGCTACTGATAATGATTATTAAGATAGATGTCTTTATCATGCAATGTATCAATAATAGAAATCAATAGGAAGGGATACGTATTTAAGACATTTTCCAACTATATGCATATAACTTTCAATAATATAAATGACTTGCTTGAGAGTCTCTTCAAACAAAAATCTAAAAGTTATATAACATGCATTGTGTTATGCCCTAAATATGTGAAATGAGACATTGTTTTAGATATATTACCTTTAAATTGGCATCTAAAGAGTTCATTATATTCATTGTTATTGTGCTAGTAATGTTTTATTATCTTGCTCTATATTTTAACTCTTATTTTTGATTGATTTTTCATTGTGCCCTGAAATTTTTTACATATAAATTACAGTAATTGGAATGGATGCCTATGGATTTTCTCTCTTCAAATTCCATTCCTCAGACTTTAATAGAGAAAAAAATAGAAAAACTTATTCATAATCCAGCATGAAAATGTCTAAAACAATATATTAAAATTTAATTTTGGTTAAATAAAATCCTCCTTTATTTTATTGCAGTTAAATCCTATATTCTTATATTTAAAAATACCACCTGATTGGTTTCAGCGGGATTTACTGACAATGAATGTGTATTGTTCAGTTCGGCTAATATCTTATTATAATATTGTATTAAAGTTGACAGTTGAAATATGGTCTGCCATTGCTTATTAGTATTCAGCAAGATTTTAACATTTTAATGTTGGTTTTAAAACCTTGGACTGTTTAAAAATGAAAAAAGTGTGCATTCTCTCCTATCTTTAATAGCTGCATAACTGATACACCCAATTCAAACACTAAACTTGCAAACATGTTTAAGAAACATGTAACCAAAATGTCTGGCTAAATCAAACCAGTGTGTAAACTTAGATCCTTTTCTCTGCATATTAATATTCTTGATAATCAATTCTTACACTATGAGGATTGCCAAAGCCATATGTGTAAGAACAAAGGAATTCAGAATTGATAGATTTCCCCTGCTGGGACCTTCTTCCTTCATTCTTTCTCCACTTCTATTAGACTGTTTGTGTAAACAGTTTAGTTTAACACTCTTTTATTGTTTTTCCTTTAGCTTAAATGTATTGCCTCTGTTCATCTTATGCACTAAGTTTTTTGGATTTCTTTTTCTGATTAGTGTCTTCTTGGCTACTTCTGCTCTGATACCTAGTTTCTCATTCAGTTGATGTTCTACTGACTGTTTTATCTCTTGGTTCCTTGTTCCAAACCTGCTACCCTGCCCTGTGCTTGTTCTCTGTTACATTGGTCAAACCGGCATAATTCCCTTTTAAGCAAATTTCTCTGTAAGGAATGGATTGCAGTCTAATCTGTTTCCTGAATTACTGCTCCAAATCATCACCCCAATTCAGTTAGAACAGGGGTCTGCAACCTTGACAACTTTAAGACTTATGGAATTCTGGGAGCTGAAGTTCACAAGTCTTAAAATTGTCAAGGTTGCAGACCCCTGAGTTAGAACATTCATTGCAACAAGAATCAAGTTAAATACAATGTAGACATTTTCTTATGCTTCTTGTAATTTTTAGAAGCTCGTCACAGTCAGAAATAAGAAAAAGTTGGAAGAGACTTTTTGAAGTGTATAACTGTATAAAGTATTTTAAGCCTCTTTACATATTTATACTTATAATAAAATTGTTTTGAAAATTCAAAATGCTGAATAAAATAACTATATGGGACTAACAAACTGTCATTAATAAAGTATGGTGTTTATGTCTTCATAATAGTGCATGTTAATTAATGCATGTTTACATAATGCTTCAAAAACTACCGTTTGTTTTTGAACAAACGGTAGTTTTTGAAGAAATGCTATCTTCAAAACTCTATTAACAAAAAATGTTTTTGCCACTTTATTTTTTAATGTAGGTGGGGAAAACGCATATCAAAATGTCAATACCCAGCACAAATGGCGACCAAAATCAGGTTTGTCTGGTTAGGTTGCTTTGTTTTCTTTAAAAAGAAAAAGGGGGAAAAAGGCTAAAACAAATCCAAATAAATGTACCCATTTTTTTTGTCTTTTTTAAAAAAAACTATCATAAAACAGCAGCGTGCAGAAAAAGAGGAAGACCCGATAAGAATGAGGAAGGTTAGCTGTTTTTTTCACTTCCATTAAAACAATTATCATATCACTCATGCATATGCAATATATTTAAAAAGACAATATTTTGCTTTCTTCCTGTGCTTTTATCAGTTGATGCTTGTTTGTAAATAAAATTAATCAGAATTAGCCAAAGAATTAGTAAAAGTTTATTTAATTATACTTCTCATTTCGTAATTATTTTGCACAAAACTTTCTATGAGGAGTCAACAATTTAGGAAGTAAAAAACAAGTATTACTGTAATAGAAAAAGCAAATAGATGTATTTAAATTTTGAAATTTGTATTAATAAATACAAATAATAGCTTCAAAAATGTTTTTATGTACACTAGAGAGCCAGGAGGACACTTCCACTGCTCTGCATAGCTATTGTGTCTCTGTGGAAAAACAGCTTGCAGAATGATGGAGTCATGATAACTGTCTTTTTAAAAAGAACCCATTACATTTTTTTATCATTCATGAGCAGGACCATACACATTTCTCATATTCTCCACGTGATCTTATGATTCCATACACTATACCCCATTCGCAAATAATTGCTCTATGAATGTTAGTTTAACCTTTTTCGTTTTCCAATCTGCAAATACCTGCAAGAACAACCTTTTTAATTTTTGTGTGTGTGTGTGTGTGTTTTTTTGTCCCTCCCCTTTCTTTCACAGAAAAGATCAAAGAGACTAGATGGTGAAAACATTTATATAAGACATAGCAATTTAATGTTGGAGGTTTGTATGACTTTGAAGCTTCTTTCAGTTGCATTTGCCTGGACCTCTACATTCTTTGCTAAACTCTTTTCGCCTCTGCTATAGCATTTGTATTTTTGGAGTGAGGTGTGTGTGCATGCTGTTGCATGACTTCATTAGAAATAGGCTTTTGCATGTCATAATAAACGTGACATTATGCAACCATTTTTCTTATCTGTTTACATTGTTTTCTTGGTATCTGAAAATATGTGATTGGGATTAGTCTTCACTTAAATGTATTTCTAAATCATAGCAACTCATTACACGATTATCTATGCATAACGATCTCCAAGCATGCAATTATATGACTGACACAAATAAGGTTGTCTGAGTCGTATTTTGTGATGCCATTCTGTAGGCTAGAATCCAGAATAGTTATATAATATTGAGTTTAATCAAAGTAACAGACTTACCCTGATCCTCAGTTTTAATTTCAAAGCCTTTTCTTTTAAGCTTTTCAGGTTGTCTTCGCTTAATGACCACCTCATTCAGCAACTGTTTCAGCTTATAATGGAGCTTGAATGAGTGGTATTTACAGCTAGTCCTCATACTAACATGCTCACTGAGTATTTTTGTCACATCCCACATATAGGTAGCATGTCATAAACTATCTCTACTTCTATCAGTGCTGTTGATATCAAAACTAGAATTGTTATATCCAGTGCTTTTTTTCAAAAAAAAAAAAAAAAGGTGCTGGAACTCACACATGTCATACAACCCGCCTTGCCTATTCTATAAGGTTCCATCCAAAAAAGGTGCCGGAACTCCATTCTGGGCGTTCTATGAGAAAAAAAGCCCTGGTTATATTTTCAAAGAAGGGGAAAACTAAGCTTGTCCATAGTTAAAAAGTCCATGTAGTTGTTTCTTCCATCTGAAATGTGGCCAGTTTCTCAACAGCATTTAAACAGAATAATTCCTCCCCTTTAAATTTCCCAATAAGTTTGAAAATGTCATCACTTCATTCCTGATGTGTAAGATCATTTACTTTATTTAAACTGAATTGACTTGATATTTCTTGTCATTCTAAGTGATAATTTTCAATTTCTTTGGTTACATTTATGAGATTGGCTGCTTTCACTGCATTTTTGCCTCATTTGAACATGATTTTGAATATACTGAACATTCCAATCATATATTACTGATACCGGAGAATGTGTGTTTCTTATACTGATTCTGTTTTTTTTGTGTTACTATCTTTTAATCACAATTTCAAAAATAGCATAGGAGATTTTTGTGCGGTGTCAGGATTTTTTTAATGTACTAACTATTTTTTTATTTTGTGCTATATAGCTTTGAGTTTGCTATAATGCAGAGCTTGGGGCAAAATTAATCTGGTGTATAATCCAGTCAACATAGGATGATCTGGCAAGAGGGAGTTAATATTTCATCTATATCATTTTAATTCCTCTATAATTCAGCTTTTTAATTTCTTATCTACTCTTGGTAGTTTTTTTTTTTAATCCAAAGCACTTACCTCTTTTTTGTAGTAATTTTATCATATCAGGTTCTGGAATAAATATGTAGCCCAATGCCACTTTCTAATTTGTTTTCATATATTTAATTTGACCCTAATTGTATTGTTGCAGATATTCACAGACCATCATCAATAACAGCAAGAACAATCAGATTGATTGTAATAATTACCCACTATTCTTTTCCTGTCCTTTTTTTATTCTGTTTATGAAGCATTTGGATTGTTCCCATCTAATTCTAATAAATAGAAAAATTTTGGTCCAAAGAAGCCAATCATAAAGTTACATACTTCAAACAATAAGATGAAGACAACGAAATTAAAAGTGCACTAGATACAATTAAACTTTGGTATATTTTTCAGTCATTTTAAGATTGCAATATTCGTCTAATATTTAAATTGCCACACTATCCTTCAAAACAGTAGTATAATTGATAGTAACTTACAGGTAGTCCACAATTTACAACCATTTATTTAATGACTCTTTGAAGTTATAACAGCATTGAAAAAAATGACTTATGACTATTTTTCACACTCCTGTGGTCATGTGATCAAAATTTGGACGCTTGGCAACTGGACTGTATTTATTATAGTTGCAGTGACCTGGAGTGATGTGATCATTTTTTGTGACCTTTTGACAAGGATAGTCAATGGGGAAGCCAGATTCACTTAACAGCCATGTTCCCAACTTAACAACCAGTGATTTACTTATCAACTGTGGCAAGAAAGGTCGTAAAATGGGGCAAAACTCACTTAACAACTGTCTTGCTTAGCAATTGAAAATTTTGGTCTCGATTGTGGTCATAACCTGTACTCTTTATCAGGCAACCTTTTGTTTTCTTAATATTGCAGTAAAGGAAGGATGACTTTCCTTTTTATATAATATTTTTGAAAGGTCTTTTGTTTTAACAAATCGTTTGTTTTAATTCAGACAAGTTTTTTTTTGCTGAAGATGGTAAACTAAAATACATGAAAATATAAAATGAATAATGCTCCTATTCAATAAAACTTTAAAAATTAGCTGAGTTATTACTCTTAAAAACATTAAACATAAACAGTATAAAATGAGATATAGCCCTTTTTTTTGACAATGTTGCACAAATATTCTTATATTGAACATTGAGTTTGATTTTGAAATAGAGAAGACTGAAAATGTCCCAGAATTTGCAGAGAGGTAAAATCCAAGGATTTTTCAAATGAAAATGTGTGCAGTTCAATTTTATTGTACAAAGCAAAGATTTTTATTGTACCAAGCAAAGATTTTCCTTGTTTGGGAGTACAAAGGTCATTTAAAAAAAAAAGACTAATTATTACAGTGGAAAGCCATAGATTCAATATGTACCTTCTGAAGATACATTTGTCAATCTGAGGAGTGGCAGCATCAGGATAGAAAAGCTTCCTTGAGCTGTGCAGGCTGCGTCCAATTCTTGTAGTAAGGTCACTGGCTGAACATTTTGTGATTAAATATCTTTCCCCAAACATGCATATATGTATCCATAGACAAACCTTTCTTGCAGATCCACCAGCATATGAGTGATAAGCTTCTGAGATATGGATACTAATAAAAACTATTAACTCCCTAATCTGAGTTATGAAATGGTATTGTCCAAATGGGATTTTTTTCATGTATTTTATTAAAGGTAAATCAAGTATATGAAGTAATGAAGTCATATTACCCTGGATAATGGTAACCAAAATAATTGATTAGCTTTGTTCCTTTTTTGCTCACTAAAATGGCTTTTCCCACCAGTGAATTTTATACAGTAGTCAATTATGTCCACTTAATTTGGCAGTCTCATTCTTGGTTTTTTCCTGCCAAGGGTTAAGTTTAGGAATATTGATCAATGATTAATCTTTGTGGATTTTGGTATCAACACTATAATCACAAGGATATATATCACACCAATCAGTTATGTCTGCAGCTGGTAAAAGCCTTTTGGATATAAGATTAACAGCAGGCAAAAAGGCACAAGAGCCAAATTGAGTTCCATATTCTATGACTGAGTTTTTTTCCATGACAGGCAAATTGTATCTTTTGGCCTGTGTGTTTGTGTGTGGATTTTAAATAACTTTACTGCAGTATTTTCTGAAAAGATAATAAAGTTGTTTTGATTAATAACTAGTGTATCATACAGTATACATTAGAAATAAAAAGATACTGAATAAGGCTCTTATAGAAATCACACATATGTCTGCTCAGAAAGAAGTCTCATGAAGCTTAATAAAATTACCACTTGTGAATATAGGATTAAAACTTTAAAGTGTCTAATTAAGTTTATTTATTTATTTATTTATGAGACTTATATACCGCTTTAAGTGCAAGCACTCTCTAAGCGGTGTATACCAGTAAGCAATGTGTATATATATATATATATATATATATTTACATTGTCCCCAACAATCTGGGTCCTCATTTTACCTACCTCGGAAGGATGGAAGGCTGAGTCAACCTTGAGCTGGTGAGATTTGAACCGCTGACCTGCTGATCACAGTCAGCTAAAGTGGCCTGCAGTATTGCACTCTAACTGCTGCGCCACCTTGGCTCAGTTCTACAAGTTTCAGATTTGATTTCCAAAACAGTGCTTTGGAATGTGGAGGCATATATATAATTAACCACATCTTTTCCCGTGATTGTGTAACAATTCTGGAAGATAGCCACAATGTCCCAGGAAAAGAAGCATCTCGTTTAAGCATTTGCATATAGACACTACTTGATACATTTGTACATGTTCTGAAGCACCTTCTTGGAATCAACTCCAAAATATTGAATAGATCTACTCTAATAATGTGTGCTGAGTGTTGGAAATTTAATATAGGTAATTGTTCTAAAGCAGTGTTTCTCAACCTTGACAATTTTAAGGCATGTGGACTTCAACTCCCAGAATTCCACAGCCAGCATTGCTGGCTGTGGAATTCTGGGAGTTGAAGTCCACATGCCTTAAACTTGTCAAGGTTGAGAAACACTGTTCTAAAGGTAGAAGATTGCCACTCCTGAAATAATAATTGGGAGTTTATTTTTGTTAGTCTAATAAAAAAAAAATAATGTTGCAAACAATGTTGAGCTTTATTTGGGATATCCTGCACTAACCAGTACATTTTATCTCTCTGAGGGGAAAAAGAAAGAATTGACTTGACTAATTTTCTGCAGCATCAAGGGAAGCGATAGATTCACTTCAGTAAAGCTTTCTGTGGTTTGTGTTGGATTTTTTTTCTAAACTGATAGGATCTAGATAAAACCCAAGAAGAAATAAAGAAGCATCATGCTAACATCAGTGAACTGAAGAAAAACTTCATGGAATCTGTTCCTGAGCCACAGCCAAGTGAATGGGACAAACGCCTCTCTATTCATTCTCCTTTCAGAACGCTTAACATCAACGGACAGATTCCCACAGGAGTAGAAGGAGTGAGTACTTATATGAAGTACTGATTATTTATTTGGCTTTGATGTTCTAAATAAGACCACTTTTTAATTCTCTAGGAACTGGAATTCTTCTTTGGGGAGAAAGGCAAACAAAAGGTTAAGCAAAGTTGCTTAAGTGTTTAATTACTCGTTTCTTGTATATTGGATGAGCTATTAACTTTTTAAAAACCAATTTTCAGGTTACTATGGAAGTTGGGGTTGGAAATCTTATCATAAAATATTATGGAGAGAGGGAAGGGGAGAAAGAGAGAGAGAGAGAGAGAGAGTTTTTAACGTAGCCAATTTCCATGCCTAAGTGAGAATTAGATCCTGGTTCTTTCTTCTCCTAGTCCAGAACTTTAGCCACTATACCTCAGGTGGGTCGTGGGTGATACAGGGCAAGTAATTTCCTCATCCCTAGACTTGGAAATTGAAAAATATCTATCTACCAATCCACACTGAACCAGCATGGTAACTTATGCTCTTTATCCTTCAGTAAAAATATCCCTGCTGGGCTTGATTTGATATAATAATATTTATTTAATTATGAAATTTATAGACTTCCCCAATCTGTTATGACTCTGGGTGGCTTACAAAATACAACCATACAATAAAATACTATGAAATACGAAAATCATCAAACACCTAAAAAACCCCAATCATTTAAAAAAAACCAAAAAAGTCATAGAATCATCACCAGCACTAACCCAAATCTTGAGGATTGAGCCAGGTCTTAGGGATTATTTAAATAGAGTCAGGGTGAGAATCTTAACAGATTTTGGGGGAATGGTGTCCCAGAGGCAGATGCCACGAGAGAGAAGCATCCCCTCAATATATAATAATAATAAATATAATAATAATAAAATATATGGTACCTTGGTACTCATTAATTGGTTCCAGGAGATGCTTTGTTGTTAGTTGCAAAGTCTTGTCCAACCCATCGCGACCCCGCGGACAACGTTCCTCCAGGCCTTTCTGTCCTCTACCATCTTCTGGAGTCCATTTAAGCTCACTTCTACTGCTTCAGTGACTCCATCCAGCCACCTCATTCTCTGTCGTTCCATTCTTCTATTGCCCTCAATCTTTCCCAGCATTAGGCTCTTCTCCAGTGAGTCCTTCCTTCTCATTAGGTGGCCAAAGTACTTGAGTTTCAACTTCAGGATCTGGCCTTCTAAAAAGCAGTCAGGGTTGATCTCCTCTAGGACTGACCAGTTTGATTGCCTTGCAGTCCAGCACCATAGTTCAAAGGCCTCAATTCTTTGGTGCTCAGCTTTCTTATGGTCCAACTTTCACAGCCATACATTGCAACTGGGAAAACCATAGCCTTGACTATACGTACTTTTGTTGGCAGGGTGATGTCTCTGCTTTTTAGTATGCTGTCTAGATTTGCCATAGCTTTCCTCCTCAGGAGCAAGCGTCTTTTAATTTCTTGGCTGCAGTCCCCATCTGTGGTGATCTTGGAGTCCAGGAGGATAAAATCTGTCACTACCTCCATTTCTTCCCCATCTATTTGCCAGGAATTGAGAGGGATGGATGCCATGATCTTGGTTTTCTTGATGTTGAGTTTCAAGCCAACTTTTGCACTGTCCTTTGGAATTGGAATGTAAACTGACCTTTTCCAATCCTGTGGCCACTATTGAATTTTCCAAATTTGCTGGCAAATTAAGTGTAGCACTTTTACTGCATTGTCTTTTAAATTTATTTTTTTTAAAGTTTTTATTGAGTACAAAGAAAAAAAAGGATTAAAAACATTGAACATGGTAAATCGTCTTTGATTGACATCTCAGTCCATATTGTACATTAAATTACATATAATATATTTATATACAAACTATACATTTCTGGTCTCTTATCTTAATTTATTTCTTTATTTGTGACCTCCATTTTTTCCCCTCAATCTATAAAATTTATTCCATATTCGATAAAATTCTGTTTCTTTCTGATTTTTTAATCTTTTAGTTATCCTATCTACAGTAGTTCTGCGCAATACATAATTTTCTTTATTAGTACTTCCTCACTCGGTACTTCCATTGCTTTCCACTTTTGAGCAAATAGTATCCTTACTGCTGTAACCACGTGAATAATTAAATATGTGTCCTCTTTATTTACATTTTTCTCTAGTATTCCTAATAGTAATGCCTCAGGTTTGTATAGAATGTTTTGCCTAGTCATTTCTATTGCCCATTCCCAGACCATACGCCAATATACCTGTGCTTCTCTACATGTCCACCATACATGAAAAAAGGTGCCCTTTTCTGTTTTACATTTCCAACACATAGATGAATATCCGTTATATTTTGGCTAATCTGGCCGGAGGGAGATGCCATCTGTAAACCATCTTATACAGGTTTTCTTTATATGATGTCGCCAATTTGATTTTGTTATTTCGCTCCTATACTTGCTGCCATTGATCCATATTTATAATATATCCTAGATCTATTGCCCACGTCACCATTGTTTCTTTAACCTGCTCCTCATATAGCTTATGTTCCAACAGGTGTTTATAAATATTCTTTATTTGTTTTTTCTTCGGAATAAACCGGGAAGATGGCAAGCGTATAAACTAAGAAGGCAGAAAGAGAAGCAACGGATTATTAATTTAGAAGATGAGAAAGGAGAGATTCAAGGGGAGGAGACTATAAAAAGGGGAATCGCCCAAAGATACTATGAAAAACTATATAAAAGAAATGAGGGAAAAAATGAAGAAAGGATAATAGAATATTTAGAGAAGGCAGACATACTGAAGATTCCGGAGGAAATAAAATCTATGTTAAATGAAATAATAATGGCTGAAATAATCAGGGCTATAAATAAACAAAAGATCAATAAGGCGACTGGCCCAGATGGAATACCAGCAGAACTATATAAAGAACAACAAAGTGTACTCAGTCAATACCTACTAGAAGTTTTCAACGCAGTATTAACCGATGCTAAAATACCTAAGTCCTGGTCGGAGGCAAATATAATATTGATTCCAAAAGAAGAAGAGGAAAAAACACGGATACAAAATTATAGACCTATATCATTATTGAATTCTGACTATAAAATTTTTGCCTCAATAATGGCGGAGAGATTCAAAAAGTACCTAATTGATTTCATACATTTGGATCAAAATGGGTTTTTACCAAACAGACAGACTAAGCGGAATATAAGAACAATCTTAGACATTCTCGAATTTTATGAATCGCATAGTGATCGTCAAGTGGCACTTCTGTTCCTTGATGCACAGAAGGCTTTTGATAATGTCAATTGGCAATTTATGATCCAACAACTAAAATTAATGGATGTTGGGGAAAAAATTTTAAATGTGATAACCGCAATATATTCAGAACAAAAGGCCCAGATCATAATAAATGGAGAGACCACTGATAAATTCAACATACAGAAAGGTACAAGACAAGGATGTCCTTTCTCGCCATTGTTATTTATATATACATTAGAAATTCTTGCTAGAGTAGTAAGACAAGAAGAGCAGATTAAAGGACTTAAGATTAAGAAAGAAACATACAAACTTCAAGGTTATGCAGACGACTTAGCATTTATATTAGAAAACCCAGAACAATCAGGGCAGAAGCTATTCGAAATATTGGAAGAGTATGGGGATCTGGTAGGCTTGAAAATAAATAGAAACAAAACAAAGATTTTAACAAAAAACATGACTAACATACAAAAAGGAAACCTCGAGGCAAAATTAGGTATTACAAGTAGTTTCCAAATTAAAATATCTAGGGATACTTATTTCAGCATGCTGCTCATCAATTAAAGAAGACAATTATGGCAAATTGGTAAAGAATATAAAAGTAGATTTAGACCGTTGGAAAAATTTGCATTTTTCATTACTTGGGAGAATTGCTGCAGTGAAAATGAACATCTTACCTAAAATGATATTCCTGTTTCAGAATATCCCAATTCAATTAGACAAGAAATTTTTCAAGGAGCTGAATAAATTAACCTTAGAATTTGTGTGGACCGGTAAGAAGGCAAGAATAAAATTAAAGGCATTACAGGATGCCAAGGAGAGGGGAGGTTTAGGTTTCCCAGATTGGGAGCTATATTATCAAGCAGCGGCCCTAACATGGATTAGAGACTGGATAACCTTAGAAAATAAAAGATGTTTACATTTAGAGGATTATGACCTCCAGCAGGGTTGGCATGCTCACATATGGATGGGGCAAAGCAGAAACCACCAATATTTTTTAAGACATAAGGTACAGCAAGAATTAATAAAAAGCTGGAATATAGTTAAACGTCAGTATTACACAAAGATTCCGGCTTGGCTATCGCCATTGGAGGCAGTCACATATCCCAATCTGTATAAGAAAGACAAGGCTATTATATATAAAGACATCTTGACAGAAGAAAGTTATTTAAAACAAAAACAAGAGCTAAAACAACAAGGAATAGACATGGAGTGGTGGTCTTATCTCCAGATACAAGCAAGATACATGAAGGATAAGCAAGAATGGGGTATTAACAGACAAGATGCGGGGTTAGATAAAATACTCTTTTAAAATTTTGAATAGCTCAGCTGGAATACTGTCACCTCCACTAGCTTTGTTGTTGCTCAGCTTTCCTAAGGCCCATTTCACTTCACATTCTAGGATGTCTGGCTCGAGGTCAGTAACCACCCCATCGTGGTTATCAGGGACGCTAAGCTCGTTCTTGTATAGTTCTTCTGTGTAATTTTGCCACCTCTTCTTAATCTCTTCTGCCTCTGTTAGGTCTCTGCCATTTTGGTCCTTTATCATGCCCATCTTTGCATGAAACATTCCTTTCATATCTCCAATTTTCTTGAAGAGATCTCTGGTTCTTCCTATTCTATTATTTTCTTCTATTTCTTTGCACTGTTCATTTAAGAGGGCATTCTTATCTCTTCTAGCTATTCTCTGGAATTCTGCATTCAATTGCGTGTATCTTTCTCCCTTGCCTTTCACTTCCCTTTCCTCAGCTATTTGCAAAGCTTCCTCAGACAGCCATTTTGCTTTCTTGCATTTCTTTTTCTTTGGGATGGTTTTTAGTTGCTACCTTTTGTACAATGTTGCGAACCTCCGTCCATAGTTCTTCAGGCACTCTGTCTATCAGATCTAATTCCTTAAATCTATTTGTCACCTCTACTGTATATTCATCAGAGATATGATTTAGTTCATACCTGAGTGACCTAGTGTTTTTCCTTACTTTTTTCAATTTAAACCTAAATTTTGCAACAAGAAGCTCATGATCTGAGCCACAGCTCCTGGTCTTGTTTTTACTGATTGTATAGAGCTTCTCCATCTTTGGCTGCAGAGCACATAGTCAATCTGATTTCTATGTTGACCGTCTGGTGATGTCCATGTGTAGAGCTGTCTTTTGGGTTGTTGGAAAAGAGTGTTTGCTATGACCCATCGTATTCTCTTGAGGTGCTACTAAAAATGAGTACCAAATCGGTGTGACCAATACATGATCCTTTGTTTCCGCTGGAAAGGATAGCAAGTCATGAGACAACCAATAGTGACAAATTCTAGCTTGTATGTTGAGTACCAAACAAACGGGTATCAGGACAAAATGTTCATGTCAAATTTTCATGTAAAATTGAGTTTTAAAACAGTTGAGTACCAAGGTACTACTATACAATATGTAATAATATTGGATAGAAGGGTAGATGGACACATAACATACATACTAAATACTTTTGATACTTAACTAGACAGTTTGCATACGTGCTAGTTATGTATGTAGTGTTACGTCTCAGTTATAATTGTTAGTAGAGGGCATTTAGTCCATCACTGTAAAGTTGGAGTGGTAATTCTGTATTTTTGGAGTATATTTTTGCATTTTTACAATAATTACTGAACTTGGCATTACAGTCTGCAGTGTAATTGTAGATATATTGGATTAAATCTGAACTAAATATTCATTAAAAATACAGATAACTATTTGTTATGGTATTTTTATGTTCTGGACTCAGAACATAACATTGCTTTGCACTTCTGATTGGCAGTGTATTAAATATATCATATATACACATATACTTCTTTTGGAAACAAAATGAAAGTTATAGGCTATTGCCGCCTTCTGGGATTTTTTTTAAACCTCCTAATATATTTGATAACCTTGGGATTTCCTGATGGATTTAGCTTTTCAACCTAAGCTGTGCTTTGCTGGGTGAAAAAGAGCTGAATTTAATAATAGTTTTCTGCCTATGCAGTAATAATGCATAATAATTCTTATAAAAAATAGCTCTTATATTAATATGTGAATTTTTCTCCAGTCATTATACAGTGGGGCAAAAAAGTATTTAGTCAGCCACCAATTGTGCATGTTCTCCCACTTAAAAAGATGAGAGAGACCTGTAATTGTCATCATAGGTAGACCTCAACTATGAGAGACAAAATGAGAAAACAAATCCAGACAATCACATTGTCTGATTTGGAAAGAATTTATTTGCAAATTATGGTGGAAAATAAGTATGTAGTCAATATCAAAAGTTCATCTCAATACTTTGTTATATATCCTTTGTTGGCAATGACAGAGGTCAAACGTTTTCTGTAAGTCTTCACAAGGTTGGCACACACTGTTGCTGGTATGTTGGCCCATTCCTCCATGCAGATCTCCTCTAGAGCAGTGATGTTTTGGGGCTGTCGCTGGGCAACACGGACTTTCAACCTCCTCCAAAGGTTTTCTATGGGGTTGAGATCTGGAGACTGGCTAGGCCATTCCAGGACCTTGAAATGCTTCTTACGAAGCCACTCCTTCGTTGCCCGGGCAGTGTGTTTGGGATCATTGTCATGCTGAAAAACCCAGCCACGTTTCATCTTCAGTGCCCTTGCTGATGGAAGGAGGTTTGCACTCAAAATCTCATCATACATGGCCCCATTCATTCTTTCCTGTACACGGATCAGTCGTCCTGGTCCCTTTGCAGAGAAACAGCCCCAAAGCATGATGTTGCCACCCCCATGCTTCACAGTAGGTATGGTGTTCTTTGGATGCAACTCAGCATTCTCTCTCCTCCAAACACGATGAGTTGTATTTCTACCAAACAGTTCTACTTTGGTTTCATCTGACCATAGGACATTCTCCCAATCCTCTTCTGGATCATCCAAATGCTCTCTATCAAACTTCAGATGGACCTGGACAAGTACTGGCTTAAGCAGGGGGACATGTATGGCACTGCAGGATCTGAGTCCCTGGCGGCGTAGTGTGTTACTGATGGTTGCCTTTGTTACGTTGGTCCCAGCTCTCTGCAGGTCATTCACTAGGTCCCCCGTGTGCTTCTGGGATTTTTGCTCACCATTCTTGTGATCATGTTGACCCCATGGGTGAGATCTTGCGTGGAGCCCCAGATCGAGGGAGATTATCAGTGGTCTTGTATATCTTCCATTTTTTAATTATTGCTCCCACAGTTGATTTATTCACACCAAGCTGTTTGCCTATTGCAGATTCAGTCTTCCCAGCCTGGTGCAGGTCTACAATTTTATTTCTGGTGTCCTTCGACAGCTCTTTGGTCTTCACCATAGTGGAGTTTGGAGTGTGACTGTTTGAGATTGTGGACAGATGTCTTTTATACTGATAACACGTTCAAACAGGTGCCATTAATACAAGTAATGAGTGGAGGACAGAGGAGCCTCTTAAAGAAGAAGTTACAGGTCTGTGAGAGCCAGAAATCTTGCTTGTTTGTAGGTGACCACATACTTATTTTCCACCATCATTTGCAAATAAATTCTTTCCAAATCAAACAATGTGATTGTCTGGATTTGTTTTCTCATTTTGTCTCTCATAGTTGAGGTCTACCTATGATGACAATTACAGGCCTCTCTCATCCTTTTAAGTGGGAGAACTTGCATAATTGGTGGCTGACTAAATACTTTTTTGCCCCACTGTAAATGTAATACTAATTTGTGCTTAATTTAAATGTAGGTTCAGCTGCAGTAATCACTATTTTACATTTAAACCATCTAACATTGTTTTGTTGACTTCCTTTAAAATATCCTAAATTATTAAAGGTATGGGAATGAAGAAATTGAGAGGAAAAGGGTTTGATTTTATTTTGCAGCTGATTGCCTTTTTGTTGGAAGATAGAAGTAGGAATTGTTGAATTATTGTTAGTAACAGTCCGAACAGCATAGATGACCTTTTCATGATTAGATCCTGAAGCTCTGATCAGAGTAAGATTGCTAAATAATGCTATAAAGTTGACTTTATAAAATTTTGTTCTGTTTATAGAAACATGGAATGAGAATAATGTATATTTTCTTATATGAAAGTTACTGTAATTTTAGGGCATTTCAGAAGAATTACATTTCTCAGATCATAACTTCAATACTTCAGATAATAAGTATTAGTGGACTTTTCATTATAATTAATTTTAATACACAGACATCTCCAAGTTTCTTAACTTGCTTTCTTAAACAGAAGGATACATTATGATAATTGGTCATAGGAATTTTCATTTTTTAATTTAACCTTAATTTAATTTAATCTTAATAGTCTGTAAACTAGGATTTAGTTCTGGTTTATTTATCTGTTTATTTTACTTAGAAATACAATTGAATTTTCCATACTTTGTACATGTCCAGGTCAAGAAAGCCACATTTCAGCCCTGTGAGAGACAGGTTGCTGGGCCAGAGGTAAAGCTGCTGTTTTAATACATGCTTCCAAAGCAGAATTTTGCTACTGCATTGGTACTGGCAATCCCAAACCCTCAACACCAGCTGCTAGCATTGTTTGGGCTGCCTTTTCAATAATGTCATCTCTCACAGTCTTCTGATCTAATATTTTAAGTGGATTTGCAGTGCTGCAAGCTTTTGCAGCTTTTCAATTGCTTCTTTCAGCGCATGGCTGGTTGACAAAGTTGCATGAAGATGTTGCCATAAAGTTTGAGAGAGAAAAATTATGAAAGTTTAACTCTACCCTGTTCTTCTTATGCTGTCTTCCTCTCTTTTCATGTTCTTCTTTTAATTTTCATGTTACTCTTGCATACTTTATCATTTCATTTTGCTGCCCAGTCTTCCAGCTACTTTTTCCCTGATCTCCATTACTTAGGGGTGTGCAAAGACTCTGTCCCCAAATATCAGATTGATCAAAGAAGACTGAATCAGCTGAGAGAGCTTAGAGCCAAATTTTTCCTGTCCTAGATAGCAACTTTCATTTGTCATACATGGAAAAAGAAAAGCAACTTTAGAATTCTCCAGCTTATATTCAGTTTTCATATAATACTGCAAAATACTATTCATATTTAAATAGTTTACATGCTGATGTCATATACAAATAAAAAAATAATAAAATTTTATTCTTTGTAATCTTACTATTAGAAATGCACATTGCATTTTCTTTGTTTTTAAGAAACTGAATAATTCGCACCTTAATCACAATGTAACATGGAGGTAAACATTATGGTATCTTCCATGACAATACTTTCTTCAATATTCAAACAATTAAGTTTGTGCTGTAGTTGAAATATCAGATCTAACAAATAGTACAATTTTGAATTTCAGTATAGCATAGAAAGTCACAACTAATATTTTGTATGATATCAGTTCTGTTTGTAAAGCAACAGTATTATTATTACATACGTAATTCTATACCTTAACACTCAAAGATGTATTTTAACCCATGGATAAAGTTGATTTAGTGTGAGTTTCTGCACACTGTTCTATTAGCAATTCAAAATTTCTTTAGTCAGAAAGCAGCTAATTTCTCTGGGGAATTTACTTTCCACTTTTTAAGATTCACAGAGGAATTAAGTTGCATAACTGGTACAAAACATATTTTGTTGTCATTCTGACAATTTCTATAATTGTCCTTGCATATCCCCAAGTATCTTTTGAGTATTTTCCATCAGTCATTTTGTTCATCTCTCTGTCTTTCTTGATCTCCTACCATGAAAGCAGACACAGGAACGCCCTCTATTAGTGCAGGATGAAGATTATATTAAAAAGCAAGAGAAAGTTCCTGAGGGAGGTTTACCCCATCGAGCAACTGAAGAAATCCAGGCCAAAATTTCTATTCCAGTTCCTGAGGAGCAGAAAACACTCAAAACATGTCACCTGTATACTAACATTTTTTCTTTTCCACGGTTTCCTTTTCTGATGTCCTTTTTGGTGATCCTTGCAATGACTATGTGGTGGTTGGTTTTTCTGTGATTAAGGAACACACAGAGGCTTGTATGAAATATCAACAAAACTCTGCACCCTTCGACTTCTGGCTAAAGTTTCTGTCTTACTCTTTCTATTTTATTGACTGTAGTTCAGTTTCTCAGAAATTTTGCTTTTTAAAAGACATAATTATTCAACACATAACTTCTTGTATTTGTAAGAGACACAGGGAACATCAGGCAAATTCCATTGTGACAAATGTTAACATTGTGCAATCCCTAAACATCAGATTGTGTCAATGATGTACTTGCTTGGATGGCTTGTCTCATGCTCAAGACTCTTCAGGTCTGCATGTATTAGCATAGGCTTGCTGTTAAAGCTGGATGTTGAGCACAGGAGTTTGTAGAGGGGGGTAAAAGCAGTAATTGTTGAAAAAAAATTCCTTCAGTATACCTGAAAACACCTGTTATAGACATTTTTAAAGTTGGGTCTATTTCCAACTTGTTTCATAATGAATTCTATAAACAAAGAAATATGCAGCTTCCATTTAAAATTAAACAGAATAATGTTTAATTATAAACCAACATGATTTAATTTCCTTGGTATTATAAAATAGATTTTACATCTTGCTATTAAAACACTTTTCACACCTCTTGTCTTAAAGCAATTTATTTGGAAAATGTGATTTGTGCATCAATATAATGTAGTCGGGAGAATTATGATTTATTTCAAGAACAGCCTGGGCAAGGATAAAGTGGACTTGCAGCATATGTTGTCTCACATTAATTGTAAGGGTAGCATATTCTTTCTGTGTCTGCCTATGTTTTCCTAGATGCATATTTTGAATCATGAATCTTCTCTGTATGATTTTATTTAAATGAAAGATTGTAACTTCTAGTTGCTGTTGGGATTGGGTTAGAATGGTAGAACTTATTGAAGTAGTAATCTATAATTTAAATTGCTCTCTTATCATTACTTTAATTTTTTTCTACATTTTTATGTGCTTTCCTTTTTTACAAAATATTTACTAACTTGTTTTTCCTGCAACACCTGTCTGTATGAAACTAGTATGTTCTAAATATGTGTGTACTGTTTGATGCATGATGTTCCTTATACTATTTGCAGTTATGTTAACACGTAACTGAGCATTATTTTAGGTAGAGGTTCTGACATCTAATTATATACTCTGTTTATTTAAATCTTTGCATGTTGCTTAAACTTTGAAACATTCAGATGTAAAGATAGTTATTTGATATCCAATTTATTTGTATAATTTTAAAACATAAAGTTCTGATTTTGTCTCTTCATTACTGCATTATGCAAACACAGATGAGTGGATTTTATACTCCTAGAATAAATTGAGGACAACTTTCAAAAAGTTTTGAGGGCAGAATTACAGTATTCAGCCTAAGCAGCTATAAACTTGAATCTAGAAAGAAGGGATGTGACAATGAAATCATTGAGCAAAGTTTTAATATGAGTGAAGTTTAACTAATTAGGTGATATTTTAAAATTAATCTTTAAAATGTGTATTACTTAAAATTATGTATGGTTGTGTTGTATGTGCAACACAGCTGTCTTTTTGACAGTTTTGAAATTTAAAATTCTTTCAGTTATGCAGTTATGTCTATATAGATTAACATTCACTTGGGGGAAAAGTGTAGGTCCACTGATTTCTGGATATCTTACCTGCTTTCAGTACCATGGGCCATGATTGTCTTTTAAAGATGTGGATTTGAGCCACTGCTTAGATAGCTGTATTTCTCTCTATATTGTCATTTTCTGATAGTGATGTTGTTATATTGTTGCTTATAGAACTTTCCTGTATTTTTCTGTATAACTCTGTTTTGTCTCCCACATCACCTAAGACGGGTCCCCAACCCCTGGTCCGTGGACCAGTACCGGGCTGCGGCATGCCAGCAACTGGTCCACACAAACAAGCAAAGCCCCATCCACAGGATGCAGGCAGCACATAAAACCACACACTTTCCAGTCCATGGAAAAACCTTTCTCCATGGAACCGGTCCCTGGTGCCCAAAAGGTTGGGGACCTCTGACCTAAGATATTAGAGTGAAGGCCATCAGTCATAGTCAAAGAGGTGAAGCAGTATTTGCAATATACAAACCATGTAAGATAAACAAACCACCTACCATCAATGAATCATTCAAAGAAGGTTTAACATTTAACTTTTATCCTTCTCTGCGTGGATTCACCTTTGACTCATGAAGGATTGCATTTATAGCTAGCATGTGGTGCTAGATCCATCTCTGTCTTTGAATGCTTACATAGTATCAATGACCATGTGTATAATGATCAGTAATCTTCAGGCTAGAGTACTTGGGACTCTTCAGTTGCACCAGAGTTCTGGAATTGTAACACATTGGGACCCATAGAATATGTGCAGTTGCACTGTTTTTAAATCTATTTCTGAACAGAAGGTTTGAATTCTGCCTTCCATATTTTGGGGCTTAGTTGTTTTAAGAATCACTTTCACTCACATAAGTATGATCAAATCTTCTGAGATGAGATGGGTAGTAATCATATAATGGATTTTCTTGCAGATGTAGCTATAAAATGGAATTTCACCAGTAAGATGTATTATACTTGTAGCTCTTTTAATTTTTATAGGTTTAAAAATAATTAGTGATACATTATTGCTAATCTCTTTTTCAAGTGCGTGTGTATGTGTGTCATTTTTGATGTTTTACTTTTTAATGTTTTTATTTATCCTGCTATACCACCAGAAGAGCTCCCGTCAAAATATTCCTAAATTACCAATTTTTCTGAAAGAAGAATATAAAAGCATGTTCATGAACAAGTCAATTAATTGTTGTACACTACCCCGAGTCACTTTTTGTGAGATGGACAGCCGTATAAATTTGATAAATAAATAAAATGGACACCACAAACTTTTATGATAGGTTATATAAGGACATTTGGTGAGTTCAGGGTGACAATGTTTTTCCCTCTTACTACTTTATGAATTATGGCAAGGCTGAGAAGATCATTTGGGTGAGTTCCAACCATAAATTACTTGGTTCAGTTCTTGATTATTTAAAACACATTGAATTAAGTACATGTAATTTTTTTTTTTAAAAGCCCACATTAGGCAAAAGTAGATCATACAGCAAGAGAATGGCTAATGCATAGGTTTGGATATGTATATTTGGATATATGTTTGTGTGTGTGTGTGTGTGTGTGTGTGTGTGTGTATATATATATTTGGTGGGTGTTTGTATGTAGGTCTTTGGTTATTTGGGTTGGTTTGGATATATATATATATATATATATATATATATATATATATATATATATATATATAATTGAATTAGAAAATCAAGGAGTATACAAAATCCCATGCACCACTTGTCCCACCACATACATCGGACAAACCAACAGAAGATTAAGTGCACACATTGAAGAACATAAGAACTCAGTCAAAAAAGAGGAACCAACTTCTTCCCTGGTCCAACAACTTAAAATCACAGGACATGAAATTGACTTTAAAAAGACCAGAACTATCGCCAAAACTG